TTTCTCTTAAAAAATAATCAAAATTGATCGATTTATTTTTAATAATCAAACCAACATAAGTTGATAGGTTTGGTCAAAAAATCAATTTTTTTTACCATTCTTTTACTATCAATTTTAAACAATAATTTTATAATAATTTTCGTCTAATAAAACTCACCTTGATTTTACCACAATATTATATTTTTCAATCTTAAAAATATAAAATATATATATATTAATATTATAAATAATATATTTAAAAATCTATGAAAATTAATTAATCCAAAGAGTTCGATTATTAATTTTAAAAATAAAAAATTGATCAAATTAACTAATTAAACAGCTTTATTTAATTAATAGTTACCAAAATTAAATTGACTTGCTCAAATTCAATTAGTTGAAATCGATTTTCGATTACCCTAGGGTATTCTGAGTATTTGTGTATTTTTATGTTAGGAAATGTCTAATGAGCTGTGTCTCTGTTTAAGATTAATTCCAACATTGTTTGCTAGGTGAGAGAATTTGTGGTCAGGCTGCAGCATAATCTTACCCTTTTAATCTTACTTTCCATGTTAACACAACATTTGGATTGTGAATTCTATTCCCTGAAAGGTCACTACAAATTGATTGGCTCTGAATGTTTCCCAAAAAAACATTGGACGTATCAAACACTATGACCAATTCTATGACTTTAATGTGGCATAGGTTGGCTCCATTAGCTGCCTCTCATGAATCAGGATGAGAAAAAGAACACATTTCCATTTCTAATCTGTGTTTACTTGGATCAAATTTCTATGCCTTTTACCCCATTGTGAAGTCTCTTTTACTTTCATCACTTTAAAAATTGAAAAAAATTTATACGAAGTTTTATAAGTGAAATTCGTAAAATTTTTTATAAGAAATGAGTAAATAAAAGTTAAAATTAATTTATTAAAAGATTTTATCACGTAAATCAAATATATAAAATTTTAAAAAAAATTAATAAAATTTGATATATTTGTTAAATAGATATGCGTTAGGATTCAATTATAAAATGCACCTGAATCAGAGCATTATAATGACTAGTGACTGATGCTTTCTTCTTTTAAACATTTTCTTTTGAATTAATTTGTATCTGATATAAGAATTGAAACCTGAATCATAACATTATCTATATAATATACATGGGCAACCATTACAACTAGCCCTTTTTTTTTTTCTCCAATCATGGCGTCCTTGATGCTTTTTTATCTGCAAAGTGACCAAGGCTGGAGAAATAGCAAGAGAATCTGCCGAGAGTAACAGTGAGTGCATTTGTTTATTAAGAATTACAAAGCAATATTCTAAATCAGATTTTGGGTTGCAATGTTTTTAACTTCTTCAATGGGAGTCTTTGTAAGAAATATTCAGCATAAGTACCAAAATGCTTGATTTCTTGTGGAGAAAATGGAAACGAAATCATGGACAATAACAAGACATTAAGGACAAAAATACATATATATTAATAGCTAACATTGCTTCTAAATAGGAACTAACTTGTATGAATTTTTTAGGGTGTGTACATTTAAAAAATGCATCAAAAAATTAATTCGAATGAAATTATTAGCATTTCTCATATTTATGAATCTATAAATATTGTATACGTACATTTGTCGGAAGCAATACTAAAGAAATTATAATTTTTAAACAAACTCGAAATTTAATTCAATTATTTCATGTAATCATTTTTAAAAAATATTATTCAGTAGATTTAAAATTTAAATTTCAGTATTTGTAATTTTTTTTTCAAATTATAATATTTTTTATTATAATTATTTAATATATGCCTTTGTCTATGCCACATTCAAATGAAAAAAAAAAAGAATTAATTTGATGGTGAAATATGCTTTAAACTTATTAATTAATATTATATTGCTTTGTCTATTTAACATTCACCAAAAAAAATATAATTAGTGAACCAAAGTAAATTCCAAATTACTTTCTTGGAATGAAATGGGAATCTGTGGGTGGCAATTTTATATAAATATAAATATAAATTAATATATATATATATATATATATATCAATCAGGTTTGATTTGATGAGGACAACAAGGGTTTTCATAAGAAATAACATTCAAAATGTTACTAAAAATACTGCAAATATTGTAAACTACAAAAAACTATAGTTTCTTATTCGATGTTTACAATCTTTGGTCTTTGAATACTATAAAAAAGCCAAGGGCCACATAAACATGTAGATGCAGCGATTTGAGCCTTCTTCTTAATTTCTTTCATTAATTATTTTTTAAATAATTATTTTAAGGAAAAAAGTATGAGAAAGTTCACTTTCATTGATAAATATATATGTTTTGCAAAATGATAAATGGACAATGAATTGTATTACTATATTTAAATATCTTCACTGTTTAATATTCTTGCAAATGCTAAGACGAATGCATTCTGTGTACAACAAACTAAATACAACAAAAATAATATTATTAAAAATTAAAATTTTAATTTTTTTATTTATTGATTGTGTTTGATTAATCATTTTCTCAAACCAATTAGAAAATTTTCAATAAAAAGGGTTGAAAAATACTAAGTAGCTTTTAGCTACTTAATGTAATAAATATTAAGTCAATTTTATTTAAATAAATATTATTTTATTACATTAAACTTATATTGTTTCCTTAATTTTTAATTATTTATTCTTCTCTTTTCAATTTTTATACTAATTATAAAATTTTATTTATTTTTATAAAAATTAATAAAAAAATCTAAACATTTAATTTTTAGTAACATATGAAACAATTTTACATAAGTAATTCAATATTTAAAATTTTTTAAATTAAAAATTCATCATCCAATATTTTTTAAAATACTCATTATTGAATATCTTTCTTATTTTTTTATTTGTTGCTAATGGCACATTAGTGACGCCCATATGCATTTAGAATAAAACCTATATATTTTGTACAATTGCTTGCAAGAATAGAAACTAAGTCAGAACATTTGTAAATGTTAAATTAAGCCGATCTCCAACTTTCTTTTTTTTTCATGCATCAATTTACAGCATACTATACCTTTTTTTTTTTTTAAAGAAGATGAAAGATTAGAAATTGTCAATTGCTATACTTTTTTTTTTCTTTAAAGAAATTTTAAGATTTAAACTCGAAACTTAATTTAATTGATTTATATAATCACTTGTAAAAGATAATATCAAAATTTAAAATTTAAATCACTTGTAAAAAATAAGTTGGCAATAAAAATGTTTGTGGCACGTTATTTGATTTTTTTACCCTCCTTTCGTTATTTTAGTTTCTTTTTCATTTAAATAAAATAAATTTTGTAAAAAATTAAAGTCAGTGAAGATTGAGATGTCAAAACCACAAGTATTTGATTGGTTTCAATTCGTTGATTCAATAAGGATAGTTTTTTAAAATTGAAGTTAGATCAAGGTATGATGCTTTTTTTTTTCTAAGATGGAGGTCAGGTCGGAGGTGGGTTCAGGATATTTTTTTTCATCTTGTCTCAGGGTATATATATACTTATTTATTTGTTTAAATTTGATTTATAAATATTATATTAATAAAATTATCATTTAATACATTTATTTAATAAAATATTATATTTATATATAATTATAATGTAATTTATATTAAAATATTATATTTCATGAATGTTATATTAAATTGATTTTTGGTTAAGTAAGACGGTACACAAGATTGATATATATATATATATATGTCGAGTTGGAATTAGATATAAAAATAATAATTTGATATTGAGTTGAAACAGGGATGAATAAATCCGTCCCTCCCTAGTCTATTCCATTCTTTGGAGGTGTCCACGTGATATCTTTTTTTATTTTTTTTATTTTTATTTTTTGCTTGAGCATTTTATTTTTAATTTTATTTTTTAAAATTATTTATTTAATATTTTAACGATGTTTAAAAAATAAATTTGAAATAATAGATTTATATTTGAATTTATTATATAAATTATTAGAATAAAATGTATATATTACTCATAAATTAATTAATGTATTTTTACTAATTATTACTTTTATTCAAAAATTATAAATAAAATTATACTTACAAATTTAATTTAATTAAATATTATTAAATACAAATAAAAAATTTCGACCCATATAAAGTGTGAGCATGTTCTTAGTAACGGACTAACGGCAGAATGCACACGAACTGGATGGAGCTTGGCCTCTGAGCCCAAGCATAAAAATTTTCAGTATCTTATATCAATTCTATTTTTTTTATGGGTTTTACTGACGATTATTTTTAAATATTATTTAAAGTAATATATTATTTACGGCAATAATTTTATATTAAATGAAATAATTATAAATTTATTAATGATTTTTGATATGTCGAGTAAATATGTTATTATATACAATAACTTTAAAAAGTGATAATACACTCAGACTCCAAAATTCATTCTTGATCATAATTATTTTGTTCATAGAAAAAAATTTTTTTTTTTAAATTTTTGCTTAATTATTAAGATTGTTGGATATTAAATTTTAATCACTAAAATTAAAAATTTAATAAATCACATGTAAAAGCTTATTGGGCTTGGATTACACAATGATAAAATTTTGATTTCTCCTAATTAATTAGGCCTGTTAACTAAAAAGGTCCATTTCATGAAATGTTATTTCACAGTGTTTTGGAATCCAATTCCAAAGACGTTAGCATAAATAATGAAGGCTACATTCATAAGGTGACTTTGAATATTGTTCCCGAGTCCCCATCCAACAAAAAGTTTAAGGCAGGCACCAACTTTTTTTTTCCCTTAACTTCAGGAATAAGAAAACTTAAACTCTTACTTTTTAAACGAATTAGCATTTAATTTATAAAAAAATTATTTGATTCTTTTTATTTTAACAGAAAATTACCTTTGATATTGACAAATTATGTACATATATGATATAATTTCCTCTTTTCCTCGAAACCATCTTGATTGAAAAAGACAAAACAATCTCTTTTCTCTTTCCGAAATGAAACAAATTAAGAAAAAAAACATGAAAGGAAGTTAAAGAGGGAATTTTATGCTATCTTTAAAAAAGTAAACATCTTATTCTCATATATCTCATTCACAGCCTGCCTAAATACATTCCACACTATAGTAATTGCAACAGCAAACAAGACTTTCATTTTTTTTTTTTTCAAATTTTCATGATTTTTTTGATGCTATAATTCATAAAAACACAAATACTTAGACAAGCTTTGATCATATTCATCCCATACACCTGCAACACAGAAAAGAAATAAAATGAGTAAATGACCCACAAAGAGAATGGAATAAAAAATTATTTTTTTGTTTTAATTACATAATAATAGCATTAGATTTATGCATATAATTTAATGAAAAAGAAAAATGAGTTTTACTCAATATAAGAGAGATGATGCATGAAGATAAATGGTGATGATGGTTGATCTAATCACTGTCACTGCTACTGCTACTCTCATGACCATCCTCATGCTTCTTCTTCTCTTTCTTCTTTTTCTTCTTCTCCCCATCATGACCATGCTCACCACCTTCACCATGGATCTTGTCCTTGATCTTGTCCATTATCCCTTCCTTGTGCTCTTCCTTGTGCTTCTCCCCATGGTGAGCCTCTCCCTTGTGCTCCTCATGTCCATGGTGACCTTCTCCCTTGTGCTCCTCATGTCCATGGTGACCTTCTCCCTTGTGCTTCTCTTCCTCTTTCTTGTGCCCTCCCATGTGGAGGGTTTCCTCAATCTTGTGCATAATTCCTGACATTTTTTTCGGATCTCTTTTCTTCTTTTCTTGATTCTTTCTGATTTTTCTTTTAGATTGGGATGAGAAAACTGTGAAGATCTTGGGTGCTATTTATGGGCATTTTAAGGATGGGTGGACCCGGAATTGAAGATTATCCGCGTAGATTGTTGAAATTACTTTACTGGCCTTACTACGTGTTCACGACGTGTTTCCACGTTCCATCACTACTGTAATTTTAACTTTTATTTTTTTAAGGGATGAAATTAAGAAAGTATTCAATTTTTTAATACAAAATTAAAACAAAAGATTCTTTTTATAGAAAAATAAAATATTTTTTTATTATGATATTTGATTATTTTTATCAAGCATTCGATTATATCATTTTTAAACATAATAATTAATTAAGTTTGACTGAACAGTTAATTATTATATTTAATCTATCTGTTGTCATTGTATTTATATCAAATATATTTGTTAATGAGATTTTGGTTTAATGATAAATAAGAAATCTTAAAAAAATTTGAGATCTTAAATTTATGTCTCATCATATTTTATTTTGATTGTTTAATTATATTTTAATTTGTTAATTAATTATTTAAGGATGGTAATTTGATTATTCTATAATAAATTTATTATTTAATTGATTATAATTATAACTTAAAAATAAAAATTTTTAAAAAAATTCAAATATATAATTTTACTATTACTTTTAATTTTACTATTATTACTATTTTCAATATCATTAAAATTAATCTTATCATCGTTTAAATGAACTCTCATTATAAACATATATATTTGAAATTATATATCCAAAAGAAAATTTACTTACATTAATATAAATTTTCATATTTTTATCTTTAAATCAAAATTATTAAATATAAATATTATAATTTTAATTTTAATTTTAATATAAAAATACGCAAAATTCTTACGTTAATACAAATGAATCACTCCTCTCTAATAAATAATTTTGAAACGAATTCTACCTTGTAAAATTTGCGGTACATGTAATGTAAAAATGTTTTGTGGATATCGGCATGGACACATCTTGATCAACGGATTTTGAGAGCAATTCAAGTGGATCGGACACGTAGCGTTGTGTTATCAGCCGACCATAAATCTTCATCTTGGGTCCCACCCGAGTCAAAAAATCATCTATTATGGACCCACGTGTTACTTTCTTTTGCGAAGCGAAAGAACGAGCGTCCTTTGCCTCTTGTAATGACACGTGGATATCCATGCTTGCCGACAGAAAATTGGGCCGTGAACATTTTAGAGGGAATCCATTTTTGTTTCCACGTGTCTCTCTTTTGCAAAGCATTTGGAACAAAGTGGTTTATTTTATTTAATTTTGTGCAATCTATTTTTAATTTCTTTTGATTTTATGTCATGATTAGGAAATAAGGAAAATTCAAAATATATTCAAATAATACTAACAATCGAACAAAAAATCGAGAAATTACCCAAAGGAAGAATGTTATGATAGATTTATGAGCATACTAGTGAACACGTCATCGGTAAGAAAATATTCCACGGTTAGATATTAAATGTTTTAAATTTAATTATTGATTAAGTTCGTTATTTTAAAAAATGAAATTTATGAAATTAGAAAAAAATTTATCTACTTTTAACTCCATTCAAATAAATTTTTATATATTTCTATTAAATTGTTTGATTGAATTTAATGTTTGAATCAAATAACAGTATTTATAAAAAATTCATTCCAAAAATGTAAAATAGATAACATTTTTAATTATACCCTATCTCAATTTCAGACTACTCGTTACAAATTTATACTTTATCCCAATAAAATTAAAATTAAATGAGGGTTAAATAGTCATAACAACACCTTTAAATAGTTCGTAACAGAAAAAATAACATTAAATAATTACAAAGTTTCATAGCCGCCTGTCTCTCAACGTACTATTAATCATGGAGTAAAATAATGATCGAAGAGTAAAACTTTCGTATAAAAATTTAATAATTATTTAAAATTTTAATATCCATTATATTTAAATCTAATATTTTTAAATTTGAATCTATTAAATCATTAAATATATATTTTCACTCAAGTAAGAACTTGTATCTATTTTAAATTCAATTAAACATTTGATAAAATGAAAATAAATATTAATGATTAATAAAAATAAATATTTTAAAAATTAATTAATTTAAATAAAATAATAAAAATTTAGATAATTATTAAATTTTATTATTCGAATTTTTTAACCTTTAACCTAAAATATATAATAGTAATAATATCACCGTAAATTTCGCCACCTATCTTTAATTTCCTCGGTTGAATGCAACCGACCATTTATTATCTTTTCAATCTTTTTTACCGACAAACACCCCACCGTCAATTTTTAGATCCAGATTTGCAACCCAAAAGTATAATAATAATAATAATAATAATAATAATAATAATAATAATAATAATGGTCCCAACGAAAAGAGAATCATTCAGCAGGCAACGACCAAAAATCTAAAGATTAAAAAATTTAAAATGTAGAGTTTGTGGCTGAGATGGACACACCCTTCCATTTTCTTTAATGCATCCAAGTCAAGTGTCATAAAAATCTCATGACTCCATTGGTAAAAAATCTCATGACTCCATTGGTGAAGTTCAAAAAAAAAATAAAATTGATGCATTCATTCATTCTGTTTCCTAGAGCATGGCCAGTACTTCCTCAAGAAAGAGAAAATATGATCCTCAACATGGTATAGAATCAAGGAATGTGTTCGGATGCCCTGTCACTACCTCAACCAAGGAAGGATTGGAAAATATCATTGATTTCCAATAATCCTTGCTATGAAGATAAGAAACTAAAAGCAAAGGCATCACTTTGCTCCCATATTTCACGTTGGACAAAGCCTATGAAGACCTTGTTTTCCTATATAGATATTCACAACTCGGAAATGGGGTAAATCATGTCCGGAATCTTTTATTTTACCGTGAGATTATCCCGTTTGGTCCCAGATTTCCCTAACTCAACTGAAATGGTGATTTAGATTCAAACTAGTAGCAAATAACAAATATGATAGCTATGGGTCCAATAATCTTTACAAGGCAACTCATGAAACCCCGAATCGATAATAGCATAAGCTTTCCACAATTTGCATGCTATTTTCATAATACATGAACACAAGATAGACAATGAATGAAAATGAAAATGGGTAAACATAGATGATAGTAACTATTTATGTACTGAGTATGTTTATACATACAACTTTGGCTGCCCCCATCATCACCTGATTGCTCCCAGCAAGTTAGCACCATCTAGTTTTGCACCTTCCAAATGCTGATAAAAGACGAAAAAGAAAATGCAAAATAAAATTACAAAAATGAATTCCAGTAAGATATCCGGTAGGTAGTATAACAACTGTGACACTGATCCAGGTCAAAGACGCAATCCAAAAATTTTGAGATGAACCACTTACTATACAAAAGAAGTTTGCACACTATAAAACTGATTTACTTACTGTATCACGAAGATTAACATGTCGTAGATAAGCCCTTTGGAGGTTTGCACCCTTCAGATTGGCATTAGTTAATTTTGCACCCTGAAAAACATGTAATTACAACAAACTAAATCATTAAAGCAAAAAGAAAAAAGATCAACGGAACAGGGGTTGGAAAAAAAACTAAACAAACTTCAGGTCACAACCATTCATTCAAGTTCCCTTATCAATTATCAAGCTTGTTCAAGTTATCAGGATAAGCTGACACATTATCGAATCAAGTTATTATAAGTACATGCATTAATTAAGCCCCAGTATTTTCTGTTGCAGTGCCGAACTATAACTTCCTATAGATCAAATGATATATGCACCAAAGCAATTAATATGTAAACACCATGCTTAAGGATCTATTACCTTCAAATTGGCTCCTTCAAGATTAGCTCCCTCTAAGTTGGCATTAGTAAGATCGGCAGTCTACAAATCCAGAAATTAAGCAAATTAATAGTTACAATATCACAATAGGCGCAGGCAGAAATGCCCAATTAGTCAAGAAACAGGCAACTATAAACATAATAAAAAAAACCAACAAAATTCTTCGCTGCTTTGACATTACATGATGAATAGTTTCACTCAAACCATGCTCACACGTATGCAATATGTATCATAACCATCATTCACAATGATAAAATATTTAACCTAATTTCACTAGCAATTTAACACCCAATGAGCTGTTACCTCATGTACTAAAAGATGGGTCTATTGCTAAGCCTTGTGAAAAATTAATGGTTGTATTTTAGTATAGCATATAATTTTAATTTAATGGTTGAATCCAGAGGATACCATAATAGCTCAAACAAAAGTAAAATGCCCCAGACATCTACCACCTTTGTGATATATTTCATTTTCACCCACCACCTTTAAAACTCAAAATTTTTTTCATCTGTGACCCTTTAGAAATGTTCCAAATTCATCATTTCATAATCATTGTTAACAATTTACGGAATATGCCATGTCACCACCATCTGGATGTCCATAGGACAAAAATTTTAGCTCAAAAGATATTATTTCAACAAGATTAAGGAATTTATGGTTAGCCAAAGTCCTGTGATTTCCTCCTTTGTATATGCACACACTTATTCAATTTAATAATCACCTGTAAGTGTGCAGAACGAAGATCTGCCTCACAGAAGCTACAACCTATCAAACAGGCATCTGCAACATTGACATTGATGAAGATATATCAATACTTCAAGCCATAGCAGTAAGCAGTAGCTTTTAGTATAAAATCTACTAACTGCAAAAAAGATGGGAAGTATTTACCTTGAAGATTTGCACTCTGAAGATTGGCCCCAGCTAGTAAAGCCCCATGAAGATTTGCCCCAGTAAATTCACACCTTCCCTAGGCAAAAATAAAACCATTGAGAAGACCATTCACAAGAAAATGCAAACAATCTAGAAAGGAGAAATAATGCTAAGTATCTTACTCACGCAAAGTTGCATTGTGAAAGATGGAACCCTCAGCATCCACATCCTGTGATGACAATGGAGAGGTTGAATATGATCCATTAATCAGGTACAAAGGATGAAGTACCAAAGACGCCAAGCAACCATGTACAAATATTCCCACATTATACTGTTAAGCTTGAATGTAATCCAAATAAGGACTAAATCTAATTAAGGCATTTACAGTCAATCACATCACTTAAAAATTAGGCCTACCCGAAATTTTGCACATTGAAGATTTGCACGCGAGAAGAATACATTTTTGAGACAGGCAAAGCTGAAATCCACAAATGAAAGATCCTGCACAAATAAAGAACAAAAAAAGATAATGCATCTGATGTGCAATATCAAGTGGCAATATTTCTGCTTCCTTAGACCGAAGTTGAACTACAGGTGACCATATGTTAATAAAGATAGACATCCAACATTAAGACTAAAAGATACATAAACCCTTCCATTATAATCCCAAGGAAAATGCCACAAATGCCAGTCATCACTGCGCAGGGAAAATGAGAAAACTTGTAGTTGCAAGTATTGATTACAAACACGTTTTCTTCTCCACACAGACCAAAGACACATGCACAACAGAAGATCAATCAGACTAAGTCTCAATTACTGTGAAACAATATTCTAATTGGCAGAAAACCAAGAGTTTTAACACAATGTTCAGTCAAAAATTTGGGATCAGAAATTATTACCAATTTAGAAAGATCAAGGCCAGAAAGATTAACTCCCCGAAATCTAACTCTGTCAGACTGTATGCACTTGATGATATCAACACGAGTCAATTCTGCACATGACTCTTCATCTTCCTTCCTCTTATTATGAACAGAACTGATTCCTTCTATCAGTCCCTGAATTATATGCACAAATACTGTTATTGAACAAAATGTCAAGAAGAGTTCACACTCTATTCTGCCAGAAACATGCACCACTCTTAATCAACAGCCTATAACCCAAATTATAAGGGTAAGAAGCCAGATGAGTAATCTTTCACAAGGTCATTGCTGAAAACCAAGATATAATGATCACAAGTAGGCAAGCACAGTATATCATTATGTGTGTGTTTTACTTTGCAGAAAAATACTGCAAATAACAAATCAATGTTTATAAAGGAAAAGAAGACAGAACATAATGCAATAACATTAAGTTCATCAAAGTGATTTATGCAGCATATCCATGCAATGGTTGAGATGGTTGTCCCATTTTAGGACTTTTCAAGGTGGTGCTCCCTGCTTAAAGCACTCAAGCATGCCTGAAGTATCACTTAAAAAAACTTGAAAACTTGAAATCTGCAACACGGAATCAGGCTTTACATTATGGATTGTAAACTCCACATTTATCTTTGTTTCCATCATCTAAATACCGCTAAAGCGTTCGACGGATATAACTAAACTAAAACAAACGTGTAATGAGATGACATTTAAAAGTAGGAGGAGAAGTGGATATTAGAAGGAGCTATGGCAGTATGACTTACAAGAAGCTGGTAATATTCTGCCTCTCGTATAAGCTCTGAATATTCAGAATCTGTCAATGTGGGTACAACACCATCCCTTAACCAGTTTAGAATATGCCGGAAATGCTTTCCATCCCTATCAACAAAGACATATCCCTACAAGAATATCAATGAATATAACTATCTGTACTCAAACAGAGTTAATTCACATACAGAATTCCATTATGAACTATATCAAAAGTAAAATATAACTTCTTTCCTTTGTCCCCCTTCTGAGGTTTTGTGAAAATAAAGGATTTTCTGGGGGAAAGGAAACGAATTTTCATTACTACCCCAAAACACATAACTATCAAGTACCAAATATGCATGCCACCAGCAGTATGTTATCAAGGTTGAACAAATGCCTGAAATGATATCTAAGACATAGTTCATCAAAATCTATAAATAAACCCTTGAAAATTTGTGGCCATAGTCTTTTTTGGAAAGTGAAAATGACAACAAGATTTTGATAAAACAAATAGTATGAAGTTTCAAGTATATGCTCCTGTAATATAAACTTCAACAGTGTGGACTGATTTTGAAGAAAATTTCTAAAATCTGATATGAGCCATTATTATATGAATTGAACAAATTATGACTTATTGGTTCTTAACACTTTTTAATACAAATAATATATCTAAATTCCACAATAATCATCTACAGCATATCATGTGTAACAAGTTAAACATTCACAAAACCTCTCATCTAAACTACTGAGAAGGTGAAAACCAAATCCTTGCCATAAACAAAAATATTTATCTGGAAAGAAGAAAAACCATATTGCACCAAACAGATGGATTGCATCATTCACTCCCCATAAAAGGAATATAAAAACAATCGTATCACATTAAGAAAACCAGTCACAATTCAAACAACATCTGCTTACATTCTTAAAGGAGACTGCATAATAGGAAAAGTATCCCAGCACTTAACAAGTAGAAAATGCTAAACTTCTTTATTGGCCACATTCCCAACAAAAACAAAGATATACCCCCTAAGCATACAAAGGAAAATGCAGAATATAAAACCCATAAGTCTACATGGCAGAAACGGAAAGTGAATGGCCAAGGAAACAAAGAGTATATATACCTTCTCAGAGTCCTGACACAACGTATGTCGACCACTAAACATAGCAGCCAGCATGGAATCAGGCTCACGCCGGGTCAATGTATCAATGGTAGTACAAAATTTCTTCCCTCCTGCCCAGAAATTTTTGTTCAGAAGATAAATTTTAACGTAGCTAAACTAAATCAGTTACAAACTTCAGCCCCACAATATTTGACATCAGAAAAAACTAAAAACTAAAAACTAAAACTTCAAAAAGTGATAACCAGAAAAGCAAATGCAGTAAGTTCATATATACATACATCGCTTTCCTCGGTTTTCTCAGCAACCAAACAGAAAACAGGGTTAGTCCAATACCCAATTCAGCAAATCAATCACGGGGTCTAATTTAAGCCATCAATCCAAGCTAAAAAGCTAAGACAAAAAATGGGTTTTTCTAGTTTTGTTAATGAACCGATCAAAAGTTCTAACTTTTCGCTAAACAACTGATGGGGAGTTGATATAAAAAGAAAACACATATAAATAATAGGTCGAAAAAATATACAGAGTTTACCGATGTTGAGTCGAATAAAGGAAGACAAATCGGAATTTTCCAACATTTGGAAGTGAAGCTGAAGAGGCAAAGAGAATAGAAGGAGAAGAGGTGAAGTGAAATTTGTGAAAATGAAATGACTTGCTGAAATAGGCAACGATTTTGGGAATTTATACAGTTCGTGACTGTCCCAACTCCAAAGGTGAAAAGACTGTTTGTTGTGCTGGGCTTCTCTAAGGTGTCGAATGGGTCCTCCATTGCCATTGGGTAGTTAACTGTTCGTGTTGACGCAGCCCATCAAGCCAGCAATAGGGCTCAAGGGCATAGTCCAGTTAAGCTATCATTACTTGGAATGCCAAGGTTAATACTTATTCATGCCGGATTATTGTCTCATATACCGTCGGGTAATTTTAATTATTAAATTTTTATTTTTTTAAATACATCTTAAAATTGATAGTTGTAATATAGTTCAAAACGCAAATTAGCATCCACAAAATAGAACTTCTCTTCCCATGGTTTATCAAATTTTCATAGGAGAAAATAGGCTCTTTATTACAATATAAAAGAAAAAAAAAAGAGATATTGCTGGCAAGTGATGGACGCATGGACATTAAGAATGCACCAGGTGTTTGCATGGCCAACACAACGTGGCAGCCTTGGGAAAACCCACATTTCTATTTTTGGCCTTGTCCTTCTTTTTCGAAGATTCAAATGCCCATAGGCATTTTTCTTATGCTCAAGGCAAAATAGCGAAGAGGGTTAAAGAAGTTGAAGATGATAATGGAGAGGAAGCATCTTTCTTCCATGGCCAACCATGTTCTTCAAAGAAGTGCAGAGTAATAAATATACTTATCCCTCCCTCTCTTTCAGTTTCTTAAGCGATATTGATGAGTTTTCATGGTGTCATCAGATTGTCAGTTAGATCTTCCTTCGTTAGACTTGTTCTTAGGAAGTGAGAGAGTAGAGTTTCAATATGTAATGTGAATATATAACTCTCTCTGGAGATTCAAAATCAATGAGAATCCAGTTGTTGATTATTATTTGAATATTCAGTATGGAGATGGATGATCATACAGTTGAAAAACATGGTAGACAGCATTTGCATTTATCCCCCCTTTGATGTTGTTTGACTGTATTGCCAGTCAATTATTTATCTGATTGTATTGTTTTTATCATTTTTCCTTTATTTGATTTGAATGATACTCAAACAAAACATGATTAAAAAGCTTTTGATATGCTACATTTACCCAGGGAACTAGGTACTTCTGTGGATTATTTGGTGGAAGAATTTGAAGCTGGATGGAAGCCAGAAGTCGGTGATTATGCGAGGAAATTAGTGAAATTTTGCTGCTCAAAGGCCCTCACTAAATTGTGTCAAAATATCGAAGAAAGGATAAATAATGGGTCATATAGCCGGTTCACATATGAGGTGATGCTTGCTTGGGAGAAGCCTAGTGCGGTCGATGAAGAGTCTCAAACAGTGAGCATATTAACCTATGAATTTGCTTTAGTTCTGAGTTGTGATCTTTAGCCTTAGTGATCACATTTTCAATGGACATATTTAGTGAAAATATGGTTTTTATTTTCTTTGTAATATTTGCCTTAAAGTTGTCAGAATTTACCTGCCGATGATTTTCCCCCTACACATATTACTTATACTATTATGTTGAGTTAGCAGGAGAGCATTGCCAAGGAGGAAGAGGATAGAAAAATACGAGTAAAAGTGCCTTCGGAGCAGGATGAAATCCCTCTTTTCTATTCAGACCTTATGCCACTCCTTGTAAGAAATTTTACTTCTCATCATTCAATTGCTTCACCTCTCATCATTCAATTGCTTTAATTAGTCATTAGCCTTTACAGCTTTATTCAAGACATTTTATTCTTGCAAGAATTGAATGATTTTGCTGATGAAACTGTTGCTTGTACTATATATATATATATATATATATATCAAGTGTTTATCATTCTTGGAATGTTGATTTGTGCACTTTCTTGATAGGTTAATGATGAACCAAGTGTTGAAGAAGATGCTTTTGTGTGGTTGAGTTCATTAGTTCCATTAGTTGCTGATCTCATTAATGGGAGATTCACATTCGAAACTCTGACTGCGCCTACTGGAAACCAGCTCTTTTTCCCTGCATATGATAAATTCATAAAAGAAATTGACGTGTATGCATCTAAACTCTACTTGAAAGAAATACCATTCCAATAGTTAGCAATGATGAGTGAGAAAAACTTCAAATTCAAGAAAGATAGTTGAGAAATGGTTATGCTTTGACAATGGCAGAATCTAGTATCTAAGGCAAGCCATTGTCTATCACACTATGTTTTCATTCCTATTATGTTCCCCTTTCCCCTTCTTTGAATGCATACACAACTGGAAAGTTAAATTTTTACATGGAAATGTCAGATGACTTTGATGGGAATGCATAATGTCTACTCTGCTGCAAAAGTGGCCCAGTTTCTTTTGTAATGACTTTCCATTGGAGGATTACTAATAAGTGTATATAATAGTCATAGGAGGCACTGCATATTGTTCATTTGTCTCCATGTAATTGTGATTTTATCTTACCTGCATAAACAACCATGATTATACAGTAATAAAATGAGGAGTTAAGTTCAAGTCAAATTTAGAACAGAATACTGGCAATGGTAGAATCCTCAGTGTCTCCAGATTTTGCACAACTAACTTTGTTTGTTTCAACTTTGGTGTGTAAAGTACCAAAATTTTGTTTACAATATTCTAAGTGCTCTACTTTCCCCCTTTCTGTTCAACTGTGGGCCCAACAGTTGTATGAAGCATTTACAGAAACAAGCAAAACCAAAGGCTGTGGAGTTAGCTGATGATGAATTTATATTGCACGTGGAGGGAACTGCTAGCACGCAAAGAGTAGTACGCCATATTGGAGGAACAAGTTGGCCTGGTTTGTGTTTGCTTTCTTTTTCTGTTCAGAAAAAATGTGCAGGCAATCGAATAAATATTTATCTTATGATCATTTAAGCTGTTGCTACTTTGAAATTACTTAATATGGAGGTTACTTTTCTAGGTAGGCTTACACTGACTAATTATGCCCTCTACTTTGAGGCTTCTGGAGTGATAACATATGAAGATGCACTTAAGATTGATCTTTCAAGGAATATTTGTCACAGTGTTAAACCAGCTGCCACAGGTCCATGGGGTGCTCCACTTTTTGACAAAGCCATTATCTATGAGTCCCCTGAATTGTAAGTATATTCTTGCACATGAATCCTGATAATATAACCATTATGAATTTATGATTATTATTTCAAATTCAGACATTGAAACATTTAGGCTTTAATGATGGCATAGGTTTTTTTTTTGCATAGTTTACTTGCATGTACCACTTTCACCCACTTCCCAGCCTCTAAATTTCATGTCAGCAATGTATCAGTCATCAATTTGTAGTTAATTTCCAATGTTATCCTGTTGTTGTCAAAAATCTACCAGAAAGTTGATAGACATCATTTTAACTGCTTGATAATTGGAATCCCGGACATTTTGGCGGTAAATATTTTAGCTTAGTCCAACTAACAAATGGTATTATTGGCCAAAAAAACTAAAAAACGGTATTGAGAGTTTGCGAATAATGTTCTGCCTTATGCTGACAAATGACCAATTTGATTGTTGGTATTGTGAGTGACTTCAGCTCTCCAATTTTTGTAGACCTGAAGGAGTTGTGCTGGAGTTTCCAGAGATAACAAGCTCCACAAGGCGTGATCACTGGCTAGCACTCACGAATGAGGTTCTGCTAATGCACAAATTTTTATCTGAATTTAAGGTGGAATGTCCAATACAAGCATGGGAGATGCATGCAAGGACAATTTTGAGCATTATAAGGCTTCATGCAGCAAGAGAAATGCTAAGAATTTCTCCTCCGAATCCCACAAAATTCTTGATTTTTGCTTTATATGACGAGTTACCTAAGGGGGACTATGTGCTGGAACAGCTTGCTGAGAGTCTAAAGAGGATAAATAGTGGACAACCATGTAGTGCAAGCTCAATACTGAGAAAAATGAACCTTTCAGAGACCATTGTATCTAGTTTAGAAGTAAAAGGAGTGCCTGAGGTGAGTAATAAAACTATTGCAGGCAGTGAAGATGATGGTAAGATCTCATTAGAGACTGCCATTAGTCAAGCCAGAAAGGAAGAAAGGGAAGTTGCTAATGCTAAAGCAACAATTGAGGGACTGAAAGAGGAAGGGATCAGTAAACATGCTCTCATTCTTATGGTAATACTCACTCTTTCCACTCTAATGCCCATCATTTAGTTCACAAGGTAAGCATTAGATGTGCTCTGAATCATGGTAGAGGGTGAACATCATATTGTGACAAGAAATTTCATAGTTTGCTATGATCCAATTAGTATTTGAACAAATCCTCTCTATTTTTGGCTTCGATCTGAGGCAATGAAACTTTTCATTACTCACCTTATCTTGCTTTCTAAACGATTAGATCATAGGATTGATGCAAGAAACTTATGTGTTACACTTGTTTTTTTGGCATATATAGGAGCTACTAAAGCCATTTAAAAATGTATTCCCTTGGTTTCGAGAAATCCTTTCATGGGAAAGACCAGTAAGTACACTAGTGGTAATTGCTACAATTACACTAATTGTGTACAAGTAAGTTGATTTTGAACCTGCTTTGATTTTTTCACCTACTAAAAGTAAAAGAACTTTCAAAACTTGATGCAAAATCAAGTTCGAAAAATAATAAAACTATGAATCATGTTGTTTTTGTAGGGAATGGGTTGGCAAGGCAATATCTGCAGGCTTGCTTCTGGTGGTAGCAAATATGATCCGAGCTAGACAAGAAAGGCTTAAAGACCAACCAAAGGAGATAGTTGTATGCACTGCCTCTGACCAGACTGCATCTACGAGAAAGAACATAGTTTTAGCTCAATATGGATTTATGACCATTCAAGAGATAATACAGAATGGGAATGTTACAATACTGAAATTGCATTCAATTCTGGTTTCAAGGGCACACAAGGTACTCATGCAACTACATATATTCTTTTAGTTTGCCAACTTAAGATTCACCATAGTGAAATGCATTCTTTTACGTGATATCCACAACGAAACACAATCACATGTACAATAAGCATCTCAGATTAATCTATGAGGGCATGGGCAGATAATTGGAGTAAAAAGTTCCTGTCAGGGCTACTGATTTCTTTAATGTTTTTGGTTTCAGCATGCAGATATGGTGATGCTGGTGCTGACTGGATTGGCAATACTGTTGGCAGTGATTCCCTTCAAGTACCTCATAATAACCGCTATACTTCATTCCATGATTATGACATCAAAATTAGGGAAGTACTCAAGAAACAACCAAGGAGAACGTCGACTGAAAGAATGGTGGGACTCCATCCCACCTACCCCTGTTCGAATTGTTGACAAGGCTCCTGCCTGTCCTAAATAGGCAAGCATTTTTGTGTAAATGCTCCAAATCTTGTCTATCAATCTGGTTTTATACATTTTGTCCAAATATAGCTGATGTTTCTTGGAACAGAAGTACATACATTTTGTCATCACAGGTTAGATTTCTTCTTCACAGGACTGTTCTGTATAATTCATATTTACACCATAACTCATACATATGCATGGTTATAGCTGTTATTTGTCATCTGAGGGTTGTTAAAGAAGGTTGCAAGTGCTGTCTCAGCCACCATATTGCTTTGCATAAGCCTTATTACATGCATATGATACAAGGATAAAACTAAATGAAGCATAAAATTTAAACTCTTTTCAAAACCCATTTCTTATTTAGATTCAAGAAAACTAAACTTAACTTGTAAACTAAGAATCGCAATATTTTCTTATAAATGACATCTACCAACCTTTTACCAGTATCGAACTTAAAAGAAAACTTGAATTTCCTTCTTAAGCTTTGTGAAAATTACAAAGCTTCAATGATAAGACCAGGTAACAAAGGCCTAGTAACAGAAAGATCAAACAATGTTGAAAATGAACTACATGGATGCTCCATTGTGGCATTAGCATTGGATGAGTGAAGATTCTTGAAGACAAATAAACAAGTCATGCGAAAATTTAGATTCAAATGAATTCAGAATTGTAGTTCTACAAGCCAATCACTGTTGTCTAGCACTCTTAATCCGTGATTGATCTCGCTTTTAAATACAGATTAGATATGATATATATGAACTCCAGTTCTAATAATTCCATAACAGTATGATGTAAACGTTGTCCCTTTGGTAGCTCTCCAAGAAAAGCAGAGTAGGAGCATCTACCACTTGTCATTCATTACTTAGTTTCCTCTTGCCTTCTCCAAATCAGGAAGATCTGCAGTGCACATTAGAAAATAGTAAGAATAGCAAACCACAAATGGGAAACCAAAGATGAAACATCTTAGGTACAAAAGGAGTTTGCAATAGAGGTGAGAAATGTAAACAAAAATAACCAAGAAACGTCACATCATTCAATCCTCCAATTGGTCACTAGCAACTTTTGGAATGTCCAAAAACAGGTCTGGAGTTTGAATCTCAGAACATGCAACCCTTTCCCCTATTATCAGGCGGTGACCTCCTTTGTACAAAAATGAAAAAAAGAAATATCCTCACCCACTAAAAGAACCCTTTCTTTTCCCCATAATAGAACAGAACCAAATATCCACTCAATCAGTTTAGTTGGAATGCTCTCATCCCCCTCTCTTGCTAACCTGGTTTTAAGAGCTTAGACTCACCGGTTGCTTGAGTTGCAGAATAAGCATGCCCGAGACTTATTCATGCAAGTAAGGTTGCCTTAGCAGGGGAAAAAAGTAAAACAGACCACATGCAACCAGCTCTAAGTCATTCTGGCCTCGGCCTCTTAATCAAAGATATTTCCTCACTTATACAGGGAAGGCCAAGATATATCAAGGATTGCAACATGCAGTATAGAACCTAATCTCAAAAGTTAAAAGGTTTATGTAGTAGCAGTGCATGTATAAATTACGAAGAAACTAAGTGTTTACACCAAGTACATAATCTAGTATATAACATCTGCATATGTTATGAAAATTCTATTAATAGGAACAGCAAGCATATCACTGAGAATATTTACAAAGCTTATAATGGTCATGCAGCCACACAACATAAGAATAAGGCCTAAACGAAGGTAAGGTTACTTAAATCCTTTTCCTCAATTCCCGTGAAAACAAGTCATGTTTTGAAATTGATGACCTAGCAATGGACCCTAAAGCAATGTTGTTTTGCTAAGTAAATCATTTTGACCACATGGCTTATTTCTATCGGATGACCTAAGAAAACAGATGTAGGAACATGGCTCATTTCTATTGGATGACCGGAGAAAACGGATGTAGGATTCTTAAGTACTACTCCACAAATAATACATGCTTATGTGTTCAGAATGCAATTCAATTTAATAGTTTCAGAAAGTGAACAAGTTGTTAAACTCACACAGCAATCCTTCATCATCACTGCTTTCATCATCTTGACCAACATACTGCAAAAAGAAACAAATTCACATCAAATGGTTAATCAATAGTTATGAAGCATTCACAAATGCCTCTCCCTATTTAAATGCAGGCACATGTTAGTGTTTTTAACTTTTCCATTATTTTTAGTGAGTGTTTTTAACTTTTCCATTATTTTTAGTAAACTTGGCATGCAATGCAACGATCAAAGATGCCCGATACTATGATTAGATGTTATTAGCATCTTATGCTTTTATCGATCTTATAATTAAAGGATACAAGAATACTTTAAACTTTCTTGTTTTTTGACTTTTAACAATATTAGCATTTCACTTTTAAGTTCTTCTAGGAACTCCAGGATTTGCCTGATTTAGCACCCAAGAAGACATGTTCTCTTTGTTTCCCTGTGAGAAAGTTAAGATTCAATGGCTAACTCAAACATGCCATCATATTATTCCACACCCAACCCCATTATGGATCCATAAATGGAACAAAAAGCAAATTACCATGGCATCATCGTCATCAGAGACCAAATCAGCTGCAAAGGACCACAAAACCTCAAGTCAGATCCAATATAATCATAATCTAAATATGAATTCTATACGTCAATAAAATGCACCACTAGGTACAGAAAAATGTTAGAGAAGACAAATGATGGTACAGCACTAAGACCACATGATAAAGCTTCAAATAACTTAAAGTCAGAGAAGTGGACAGGGGGTTTTCATTTATATAAGTATCAGAAAATAAGAAAATTCATGGGGTTTGAAATTATAGAAAATCACGTTTAACATATAAACTTACTACACTATTTCCCAAAAATCTAGGCTGAGTAGTAGTGGACGTATAGAATGAAAATAATCCTACAGCAGTAAAACCCTAAAGGGAAATCATAAATGCTTCATGGATGCTGACATGAAAAAAGCCAAAACACAATCAACCATACAATCTATATACAGTCTAGGTTCTCAGAAATAAGCAAGAGTGCAAAGGTTGCTGGGCACATAACACACATAAGAGAAATAAAAACCAAAATAAATGATAAACTAACTTACAATTTGGCTCTTCCTCATCTTCATCACACCATTTGTTCCAATCAACCTTGATGTAAGGTGCAGGTTTCTCTTCTGTCTTTAGTAATCTTTTCCACCACCCTTTCTCTTCTTTCATGATAGAGCATATTATATTCCTTAACCCAACATTAGTTTTGCAACCCTGCAACATAAGCAAAATACTATTTTTAATAAAACTCTAAGGATATCCTTAAACAAAAAGCGAATAATTGACAAAGAGATACTAAAATAGCAACACTAGTTAGTATAAAGCAATCAAAAAAGGATTTTAGTTTGTGTTATACTTTCAGGGAAATTTTGCAAAACTACTATCCACCTTCATAAGAGCCCGTTTGGATTGCATCTCACCCTCAGGGAGATTGCAATCGAAATATGTGCAAATACCAACTTTTGCATCCAAATGGATGCATGGTGCATTTAAAAATTGGTTAGTCATCAATTGGCCATTTTTGGTCCATTTGATGCCCGGCCAGCCAACTTTTTTATTTTTTCAATTTTATCCTTTAAATTTTATTATTATACCAAAAATGCCTCACATTTTTTATTTTGATCTTTTTATTTAAAAACTATGAAATAATTTTCTTAATTAATATAACAAATAAAATTTACTATTTAAAACTAATAAATGATTTTATATAATAAATAAATTTTATAAATGTCAAATAATTTAAAATTTTTATCATATATAACTTTTAATTTAATGTCCTTAATGATTATTTTCTTTTTTCATTATAATTCATCTCACTACTACCGTTTCTTTTACATCTAAACACAGATCTTACCATTAATTTTAATCTCACCGCTACAGATTTCACCTCCACCACTGTTTTCAATTACACCAAAACTAATCTCACCGCTCATCCAAATGGAGCCTAAGTATATGTCACGAGTTTATAGGTTTTTCCATCATTTACTCTTTCACCAAGGACATTCCAACTCTTGACATCTTAAACAAAAGCTCCAACATCTCAATGTGAAGAACTTGTATTTCACTTGAAGTAAGAAACAACCCAAAGACCAAAGCCGCAAATTAGGCTCAATTGCTTGATTTTCCTTTCTTTAGTGTTCAGCTTTGATTTCAAGAAGACTGAATTCATTATGAAAGCGCAAGATATCAACTTTCTTAATGGCCTTATCTTGTATAGATAACATTAAGCACTTCACAAGTCCCACTCTTTCCAAACTAAAGCTTTACAAAAACACAGATAGAGAAATAAGAAATAGATAGTGAAACCTATTATAACTTACAACCAGGAGAACCATGAATACTATGCGACTAGTAAAGAACTCTAAGCAATGGCAGATCCAGGATTTTTTTCTCAGGATGTCCACTTATAATATATATATATATTAATATATATATATATATAAAACACTGTTACACATTTACCAATTTTATCAATGGAAGTGTCTAGAAGAAAATTTTGAAAATGCATAGGGAAAATTTTCCTTTAAATTTTCGTGTTTTCCAATTTTTAGTGGTGTCCATGACACCCCACCACACAATTTGGATCCACCCTGACTCCAAGTATGACTACAAGAACGAAAACAGGCATCTAGGACACAAGAACTCACCTCAGGAACAATTTTTCCAAAAAGCTCCAAGCTGAAATCGAAGGATTCACCTTGCACCCCCATGGCAGAGAAACTAAATAACCCCTGAGGCTCACATTTAACAGTAATGTCTTTTGCATCAGGTAAAGAAATCGTCAGATATACCTTATCAGACCGCTGAGCCCAAAGAACCTCCGGGTGACGACTGAAAACAAAGAAAACAAACAGTCTCGTCATTGTCAGTTTTTAAGCAAACACCAAAGCAAACAAAGTAACTTAAACCAATATATCAGGAAACCAGAAGAAACAAATACATTAATCAAGAATGCATAAAACTATATATTTTTTGCCATAACTGCATGTTCTTAAATCTTAATCACACTAGGATAAAAATAACAAATGCCTAGAAATAGATAATAAGAGTCATGAAATAAGCAAACCCAAACAGAATTAAGCCTTTTTTTTTTACATTATTATGTAGCAAGAACTAGAAGAAAAGCCTAAAATGGTACCAAAAACTAGAGCTTTTTTCCATTTTTTTCACCAACCCAATATTCTATATTGACAACCTCACATTGGGTTTGTTATTAAAAATCAAAAGTAGTTTAGTATAACTTTTTTTTTCTTCCAGGGGCATCAATTTTTTAGAATTTTTTTTGGCATGGGAAAGCAAAACAGAACAGTAAAAAAATAATATAAAATAGAACAAAATACATGGAAATTTAGAAGTATTGCTTGAGTGTGAGGGAAAGAATAGATAGAAGAACCTCATGTTGGATGGTGCTTGAAGAAAGGAGGAAATCCCTGCAAAAATAATAATAATAATAATAAAAGACAAAGAGGGTTTGAGGGAATCGGCTTGAAGAATTTACAAAGCTTCAAAATTCAGCTGAGTTTTTGGCCAAATTGAAGTGGATCTCACTTGTTATTTCCACAAACCCCAAAAAAAAAAAGTTAAAAAATGTCAAGAGTTTATTTTTAATTTTATTAATATTAGTACTTTATGAATTAAAATAAAAAAAACATGGTTTTTATTTTTTTAATAAAAACTATTATATTTGAAATTTGTTTGTTAAATAATACTAATAATTGATAATTTTTTATTATATTTGATAAGAACTACAAAAAAAGGTAAAATTTTATAAAAAGTGGAAAATGAATAAAATATTATATTCATGATAAATCATAAAATAATGATATTAGTTTTAAATCTTTAACTATGAAAAAATAATCATCGATGAACTCGAAATCTTTTTATTAAAAAAAATAAAATTAAATTAATTAAATTAATTATTTATTCATTTTATTATATTTATTAGATGATAAATGTAAAAAAATTCCGTGAACAATGTTTTATTTTTATCCATGATATAAAAATTCATGTAAAACCTTCGAAGTTTCTTGAACTAACAAAAATAGACAATAATGACATTGTTGCTTTGTTGAATTCATCCAAAGTTATACCTTGCTAAAGATGGTTTTGGTATTGATTCTTTAGTAATTTTGTTGAAGTTTGTTTCTTATTATGAAAGGAAGCTTATTTGGTATCAACAAAACAAATTTGTCTTATAATTTATATCCAAATGTGAAAATTTATGCATTTAAGCATTTTAGTATATGGTAAGTGAATATAAATCCGTTTAACAATCAAATTCAAATCTTTTTTCTCTTAATTTAAAAGTAAAAAAATAAAAATTTTGTAAAAAACTTGATTATTTTCAATAAAATCATAACAATATTATTGAACAAGATGATGAAATGTATAAAGAAAAAGAATGAAAATAGAGATGACAGTCCAATCTATTTTTTATGAGTTTCAATTCAACCTTACTCAATCTCATATAATTACATTTTTTTTAAAATCATATTTAAGGCCAAGTTGAGTGATAATAACAAAAAGGTTCAAGTTGAATTTTGGCTAAATCCATCCAAATCAATCTAATATATATATATATATATATATATATAAAATTATTTTTAAATTATTTATTTAATTTTATATTTAAGTTATAAAATAATATTTTATATTAAAAGTATTATTTTATTAATTTTAAATATAATATAATTTTATATAATATTAAATCGAATCAAATTTTAATATATAAAATTAAAAAAAATTATCAAATTAAATTAAATTTAAATATTATAAATGTAAAATCGAATCCAATTTAAAATAAATAAAAATCTGTCTTCGTTTTTGTCATCAACAGTGACAATCCTACGGTCAATCCTTTTTGTCCAGTGTCCAACATCAATTCCTAACTATTTTCCAGTATAAAGCGTCCATTCATCAATCAACCTTACATTTTTAATCATAATCTCACTCATTTACCCTATTTTCTCCAACAATGTAAAAATGTCACGCTAAAGATGTTTCCTTTCCAACATTTTTCACGTTTTTATTTATTGATTGACGAAGGAGACTTTTTATCGATTAACCACTTGACCAAAAATTCTTTTTTTTTTTATGCAGCATATTAATATTATTTTGAAAAAAATTTATTCATTTATCCAAAAAAATAAAAATTTCATTAGAAAAAAAAACTACTAAAAGTTCTTTTTTTTTTTTTTTGAAGAAAGCCACTAAAAATTTTAATTTCATTATACTATATAAATATATATAATATAATTTCCATTCAATTTACATGCATGGTTGACCCATGAACAGTCATAAGTTTAAAATATCTTGAAAAATCACACAAAAGAGGTTGTTGATTTCAAATTTTTACATTTTCATCGCAAAAAACGCATGAACAATAGGAGAGATTCTATTTTGCATGGGATTGTTATTTTTATTATTTTTTAATTTATCAAATAAAAAATTACAAAAATTAGAGGAATTGAAGGTGATAAGTGAAATATACTAAATTGTGCATTTCATCGTTTATGAAAAATTATTTTTTTCCATTAGTCCAAAGGATTCCATTTAATTTTATTTTCAATTTTTTTAAATTTTGGAAATAAAAAATCTTTATTAAATTTAACAATTAATTAATATAATTAATTTTCCTTCATTTTCGACTCAAGTTCACGTGCATATCACGTGCCCGACCCTTACTAAAGAGTAAAGTCAGACAGTCAGTTTCTTTGATAAAGATTTGTTTTATTTTTTTTGTCGTCTTCAATGGATGTTAAAAAAAAAAAAGCCAAAAATCCCTAAAACCCTAACCTTTATTCATCCAAAACCCTAAAAACCGTGAATGAAACAACGATCCAATAACAATGGAATCTCGACCTTCGGAAAATTCCCAATCTCTTCAAAACTTAGCTTCAGGTCCTCTCTGTTCTTCTATTTCCTCACTCTCTTCTTCTTCTCGAGCCCTCCCTTCCAATCATGACTTTCATTTCTTTAACAACTTCAACGTTTTCAAGCACCCAATCGATCAAATCGCCAAAACATCGGATTCTTTGCTGGAATCCATCGGCTTATCGGCTAAAACCTGGGGCGCCAACAAGGCGATCAATTTCCCTAACAACATTGAAAGTATAGCCGATGATGAAGCTTATGATTGGCTTGTTAATATCAACGACGAAATCTTGGAACGGTTCGACGTTTCCATGGACGAATTTCAAAGGATTCGAAAGAAAGAAGAGGAAACGGGTCGGTTTATAGGGTCAGATCCTGACAATAATGGATTTCAGTTGGTTTACGGGAAGAAAAAGAAGAAAACGGATAGTGGGTTAATGAGTGACTTGGTTGGTGAGTCAGTGAGTGGGAAGGAAGGTGGGTCTTCGAGTTCGTCCGGAGTGAAGGTGAAGAACGGGGCGTTGGCTGTGGTGACGACGGGGAAAGCGAAGGTTCCGTTTCATATACCAACGATACGGAAGCCGCAGGAAGAGTATAATATACTTGTGAATAATACGAATCAGCCTTTTGAGCATGTCTGGTTACAGAACAGTGAGGATGGGCAGCGTTTTGTTCATCCACTGGTTGGTCTTTTCTTGTTTAATTTATCTTTTACTTAAAGTTGCTTTTTTTTTTTTTTTTGAGGTTAGTCAATGTTGTATGTTATAGTTGTTTTGTATACGCCTTCATAAATATTTCTGTTTTTGTTTGGATAGCTCGGTGAGTGTTGAATTTTGTATTTTATAGATGTTTTCATAATATCTACGTTTGTTTGGATAATACAATGTGTTTTTAGGAGTTTGCTGCGAGTGAGCAGGACAGAATAGTTGGACATACGTGAAAAATGCTTTTATGGCGCAGGTTTGATGCTTTTATTGGATTTTGGGTTTTAATAGGTTTCTATGTTTGCTGGGGCATGAATTTCTTTACAAGAAGTAGATGATTCCCATGTAGACAATTAGATTAATAAGGAGAATATAATTGTCTTTTAAAGCTTTCTAAAGTTAAGGCACCTTTCATGTTTTAAAAAGATAGAAAAGCAAAAGGAATTTTAGTAAAATAGGTCATTTAGGTGATAGTGTTTGTGATGTGCACTGGTTTGTGGGAAGGCATTCTTTAAATCCCTGCCATTTTTCATATTTCCTTTACCAGTGCAAACTAGAAAATGGGAAGGCTACAATTGTTTTTGAGAATGTTATCATGTTTGTTAGAGCTACCTTAGTAACAATATTTAGAAATGGACATGATGAAATCTGCACTTTTATTCTTGTTTTTATATCTCATTATCTCACACACATCCAACTTTGTTCAACAATAGCTTCTAAATAATTGGCTGGTTTATCTCTGGTAAATTTGTAGTGCTTGCCAAAATAAGAGGAAAAACGTTTTTTTGGCTCTTTTTTCAGGAGAAGCTATCTGTTGTGGATTTTGTCGATAAAGATATAGCAGATATTGAGCCTGTAAAACCCCCCTCTATTGAATCTACCCAATTCAAGCTGGTGGAGGAAGCAAAAGATTTGAAAGAGTTAGCAGCTAAATTACGCGGTGTGAATGAATTTGCGGTAAAAATCTGAGAACTTCTCGTATGACTTCATGTGATAATGTTCATTCCACTATAACTGCATGGTAAGATATAGAATGAAATGTTTTTGTGGTCTGAAGAAAGATGTATGTATCTCTGGTATTAGGGCTACCAGTTTGAGTGGACTTTTTATGCATCAAGCATAGGATTATTTTTCTTTATTCTCGTACTTGTTGCATCTTTGCATACAAGTTTAATTCCTGTGTAATTATTCTCAGGTTGATTTGGAGCATAACCAATATCGATCTTTTCAAGGATTGACTTGCTTGATGCAAATTTCTACCAGAACTGAGGATTTTATTATAGATACTTTGAAGCTTCGAATTCATGTTGGCCCATATCTTAGGGAAGTATTCAAGGATCCCACCAAGAAAAAGGTTGGTCTCCTGGATAGCTGCAAAATTTTCTTGGGCCTACTGCATTGTTTGATATCCTTAATTCACATAGGTTATGCATGGAGCAGACCGGGATATTGTGTGGCTTCAACGGGACTTTGGCATATATTTGTGTAATCTATTTGACACTGGACAGGTTTTATACCGTCAACCCACTATTTCGATGACTTGAGGATTTATCTGAGAATTTTCTGTTAAATTCTTTGTTTTGTTGGTATATTTTAAGAATCTTAAGTTTATGTGGCACCGTGTTAACTTTTCTATGAAATTATTTGTTAGGGTAAATTAATGTGTGACAAAAAATTAGGGCAAAGGAAATTGGTATCTAGGATTATACATGACAACTCTTTACTTGTGATTTAAATGATTGAACTAACTTAATCAGTTTTGTGGATGATTAAGAGGATGCTAATCTCATTGGAACTCATTGAAGAAGTTAAAATATGTTATAGCCCTGGAAATTTTACCATCTACCGCAGATTCGTGGAGCCTAATTACCATACTCTTTAGTGCCATTGTCTTGATTGGAAATGCTTAGGCTTAGTTTTGAGTGCAATTAGAATATAAATGAATTGATTGTTTTGAAAAGTTAAAATTTGTGTTGGACACTTGGACTCCTACCAAGATGTTGACTTATGCTTTTGCATGGTTCTCAGGCCTCAAGGGTCTTGAAATTGGAAAGAAATAGTTTGGAGCATCTTCTGCAACACTTTTGTGGAGTTACTGCCAACAAAGAGTAGGTTTTCATTTAAATTCGTTTGATTCCTCTCTCCTCTTTGATCACCATCTTTTCTATCTTCCTTAAGGTTGATTAGTCAACTCTTTGTAGATACCAGAATGCAGATTGGAGATTACGTCCTCTTCCTGATGAAATGCTCAGGTAACATTGCTTTTGGAGCATGTATCATTTGTCTTCTCTGTTTCACCTTTCAATGGCCTCTCTCTCTCTCATTAAGTAATGTCTAATTGTTCCGCTTGCATTGTCATTAAGGTTAATGATTGATTGCTGTTGACTACTTTGTCTGTCTAGAAGAGAAAATAATGCAATTGCTTCACCTGTAAATTTGAACATCTAGCTTAGATGACAAACTTTTATTTGTTTTTAGGTTTGCCTACAAAGTTGTCTCTTTTGAACATTTTATGCAAAGTGTGATGTCTTTATTCTTTCCTGTGCTCAAAGTAGTGCTTGTAGTTAAGAACTTAACTCAACCCATCAAACTTATCAGAAAAGGAAAAAATTACGATCGAATCCATAAGATCAGCATTGTTGGCATTTTATATGTTTTTATAAGAAAAATAATCAAACACAATGGTGTAAATAGTATTTAGTTTTGACTTTCATCGATATGAAGTAAAAACACTTTGCCTTTTTATTTATGATTGTACTTTTGATACTAACATACTATTCTCTCTCTAAGCTTGAAGAAAGCTTCTGGGGTTTGTGATTGCAGATATTGATGAGGAAACTTTCATTGTTGCTTGTCAACTAATTGTTTCTTTATTATTATTATTTGACAGATATGCTAGAGAAGACACACACTATTTGCTGTACATTTATGATTTAATGAGAATTGAATTGCTATCAATGCCTAAGGAACCTGAACATTGTGATGCTCCTTTGGTAGAGGTATGATGCTATAAATCATAATTCACAGCATTTTCTACATTGGCCATGGCATGTCATATCATAATGCTACTCTTCTAGAAGAAAAGAAGCTAAGAGATTTGAATAGTCTTAATCTTAGTATCATTCACGTAAGACTTGTGTTCCTTTCTAGATTCCTCTGGCTTTTGACATTCTATTTTGTTCAAGCTTCAATGTATAATCCACAGCTGAGGCTATGTATTGAAAATTCATGTGTTGATTAACTGTCCCATATGAATATAATCTGATTCTTTAGGATACCATGCTTTGGTTTCCTTGAGAAAAATGTTTACAGTGTGTTATTTTGTTGAACTTTTTTCCAAATTGGCTTTTCTTTCTCTTTGAGTCTTCTCCTTTTCAAGTAAATTACATGGATATATGAATTTGTGAACTTTGTTGCTTTTTGGTATTTATTTTTTACTGTTATCTTACTAGCAAAGGTTTTCTTGCTAGCAGGTCTACAAGCGAAGTTCTGATGTATGCATGCAACTGTATGAGAAAGAGCTACTGACAGAGAATTCATATCTCCATATATATGGGTTTGTTACTTGCTCATGGTTGCATGAATGTTTAAATGTCTTACGTAAACTCAAACTGAAGAATGATGTTTATTCTGCTATTTGTTATAGGTTGCAGGGGGCTGGTTTGAATGCTGAGCAGCTAGCAATTGTTGCTGTAAGTTTTTGTTGTTTTCATTTCTACATGGCCCTTAGTTTACTTTTATAGTGAAATATCGATTGGTTGGTAAACCAGAAGAAATGTCCAATTTCAATTCAGAGACATGTATTTGACTTGCAAAAGCCTTACTAGCAAAAATAGATTGATGATATCCATTTCTTTGGCTTATATCTCTCACTTAAATGGCTTACAGGGGCTTTGTGAATGGCGAGACATTATTGCCCGTGCAGAGGATGAAAGTACTGGTTATGTATTGCCAAACAAAATACTTCTTGAAATCGGTAGGAACTTTTCAATTTTTTATCAATTTCGAGTCTTACTTCTTTGTAGTACTTTTGGTATTTTTTACTTCAATTTCCAGTATATGTCTTGGTTTTTCTCTACTACTTATTGGTATTTTTTACTTAAGTTCTTATTTTTCTTACTGATAAAAGCCAAGCAGATGCCTGTAACTGCTAGCAAGTTACGTCGATTGTTGAAATCTAAACACCCATATGTGGAGCGGAATCTTGGTGCAGTTGTTAGCATCATCAAGCATTCTATGCAGAATGCTGTTGCATTTGAAGCTGCTGTTCAACAACTTAGAATGGGGCGTGTGCCAAATGTAAGACTCATTACATTGATTTGATAATCTGAATCCTGATATTTTGTTACTATTTTGTTAATCTGTTCTATTTTTATCTTTATCTCATTTTTCTTTCAGTCCTCAAATCAGTTGTGATCGTTGTCTAGAAATAAAAGGCAGTATTGCGAGTTGTAGGCAGCTGTTCATGTATCATAAATAGCAAAGGCAGCCAAGTCAACTCATAATATTCATCATACAATTGTCTATTAAAAGTACAGAAGTGAAAAATTTACAGATTAATTGGTGCAATTATATGAAATCTGATAAAATCTTATTGAATTAGAAACTCTATGTTAGTCGCAAGAATGGATTGAAAAAATGTTTAATTTTATAATTACTATTTGTTGAGATGACTGTAAGATTTCTAATATGCAGGCATCATCAGAACATGTAGCAGTTAATGGGGGAGCTGAAGTCTTACCTCCTGAGACTCCTACAGACTTGAAAATTACAATTGATAGCATAGAAATCATAGATGGTGGCATGGGGGGACCTGATAGGATAACTGCGCAACCTGCTTCTCCTCAACAGAAAGAGGAATCATTAAAGTTTGGAAGCAGTATTACCGGAATTGATGCAGACAAAAAACAAGAAAGATTCCCTTGCAAGCCAGATGTGAACGGTATGTCAATGTCCGTGAGAGAAAGTCTTGCCATCTCAGGGCAGATTGGAGACGCAAATGCTTGCCCAGTTATTCGACCTTCGGCAATGATTGTACGTTATTAATCCTTTCATAGACGATTGTACGTTATTAATCCTTTCATACATGCGAGGTTATCTATCTTTTGATGGGTACCCGCTGGCTAAAATATCTGTTCCTGTAGGGTACTGGAGCAACTGTTCAGGTTTTAAAGAAACCAAGCCGTGGCTTTGGGGCACTTCTGGGGAATGCTGCCACAAAGAAGAAATCTGATATTGATAAAAAGGTGAGCCAGGTTATTTAGCTACAATTTTTATCCACTGAAATTTTTAGAAAAATGGGTCTCCTTCTCTCTCTCTCTCTCTCTCTCTCTCTCTCTCTCTCTCTTGCTACTTGCTGGCTTTTGATTCTTCGTGACAGGGAAACTCGCCAAAAAGCACAGTTGCAGTCCACGCACATAGTTTTGAGAGTCACATTCCTGTGTCATTGTAATTATTTATAGTTTTGATTCCTTACTTCAGTTTTTATGGAAAGCTATTCCTTGCTAACTTCTTGTTATCTAGGAGAAGGAAGAGAGTAAGTTGGAGCAGATCAGATCTTCAGTGAATCTTTCATTTCACTCATTATTGGGTTCAGAGGAGCAGTCAAAACCTGCAACGGAGGAGCAGTCAAAACCTGCAACGAAGGAGCCAACTAGAGCACCGGAAGTTTCACAACCTGAAGAACCTCATACCGCGGTACCTACTGAATCAACTTCGGAAGATATTATAATCTTGGAAGATAATTCAAATAAACATGAATCGATTGATGGCAGAGGTAGCCCAGACATAACTGATACACCCGGGGAGGAGAGTTATGTGGTACCTTGCTCTGAAACAAATAAGGAAGATGAGACAATGTCACTATCTGAATTATCTACAAGCTTCCAGCAGTGCTTCCAGTCTATTAATCAAAACAGAAAAGCGGTTAAAGTCAAGAAATCAAAAGAACCGAGTGGTCTTTTGCAAATAAAGCCATTTGATTATGAAGCAGCCAGGAAAGAGGTTAAATTTGGAGAAGATGCAGAGGAAGAATCAGTTGGCCAAGTAAATTCTGCTGGTAAGAAGAAAAGTTCAGCAGTTGGCCGACTGCAAATAGACGATGGGACTAAACAATTTCCTCAAGCTAGACGACGTGCAGCTTTTCCTGCTTCTGGGAATAGAAGTGCAACTTTCCGATGAGTCTCCGATGATGAATCATAATCCTGTAAGACAAATGAAAAAGAAATTTGATTTTGCAAATATAGTGATTAAAATATTGATCAGTAGAAAAGATCAAAATCTTGTTTTCAAGTTAATATAAATTTTCAGTTTGGACTATTTGATTAGAATGAATGCGAGCAATAGCTGCCTCATCATGCTACACATAGAGCAGCTGTTCAAGGTTATTTGAGGAAGGAGAAAAGAAAGCAATATGCTATATACTCGAATAATATATATTTTTTAATACGTATTTAAGAAAATAAAAAATTTAATTTAAAGAAAATAAAATGTGCCATCTGTTAAATTAACTTGTGAATTTAAAAAAATTATCAAATAATTTCTTTTAAAATTAAAAAATTAAATAAACAATTTAATGTTTTTAATTTTTTTAAATAAGTTATTTAAAAGAACTATGTTGCATCACTTGTTTATCTGAATGAACTTAGCAAAATACTGAGTCCGTCGGACTTGAACAAACATGTACGACGTTGATAACATATCTGAGCTCGGCCGAACTCGGTCGTCCCGACCATTCAATTTAGAAAAAAAATAAAAAAGAAAGGTAAAACAAAAAATCATCTCCATTTTCTTCCTCTTACTCTGCGTCCATTTCTACCAGAAAAACAAGAAAACCTTTTTTTTTTCTTTTTGGAATTAAGTATGGCAGCGATCGAAGGAGGAGGGACATTATCAGAAGTCTATCAAAGTGCAAGAAAGCTGCTTCTTCGAGCAAGGGATGGGATCGAACGCTTAGAGCGGCTCGAGAGCTCCGTCTCCGGCGGTGGAGGACTCGACTCTCCCGAACTTTCCTTCGCCGTCAAAAAAGATATCTCTCAGATCCACTCCCTATGCGCCGATATGGAGCGCCTCTGGCGTTCCATCGCCGCCAAATCGCAACGCGATCTCTGGAAAAGGTATAATCGAAACGCCTATTTAATCACATTTTTCACTAGTTTCAGAAATTTCGGTTTTTTAATTTATTTGATAAGTTGCCAAATTTCTTGTACTTAGTTTATGCAAATCCTTATAAGATAGTATTAAATTTCAATAATTATCTTTAATTAGTCAATTTGATTCAATAATTATCCATTGAATGTAGCTATTGGGTGCTATATTAGCTATTGGCTTATAAATTGTTGATAGCTCAAATCATATGCTTGAAATGAGAAAATAGTGGTTGCTGATGCATTGGTATTACTGTGACCACTTTTACCTGTTCATTAAGCATTTAAACCAACTTCTTGTTTTTGTTCAGAGAGCACAACGAAAGGCTTTGGATGTACTTAACACAGTGGGGCTCTCCAACTCCGTCTTGAGGCTCATTGAGAGGAGGAACCGTGTTGATAGATGGATCAAATATGTGGGAATGGTTTTGACAGTCATCATCGTATATTTTTTCTGGAAATGGACTCGCTAACTCACTCTTTCTTCCTTACATGGTACAAACACATTTGATTTCTTGATTATCGTGTTGAGAAGGCAAATGGCACAAGCTTTAACGTGCATAGCTTTGATATAGAACAGATGACAAAAAGGACTTTGCCACTTCAAACTTGCATTGAATGGGAAGTTGTTCACACTCAAAAGAGTTAGAAGAACAGATTACCAAATTTATTACAGCTTGCTTGGTCACTTTGTATGAATGCTTGATATGAATCAGGATTAACATTGTCAACATGATCCTTGAGCTGTTCGGGACTTAATACAAAGGTTTTAATCATGTCTATGTACATTTGATAATTGATGACTCAGAAGGCTATACAGCTATAGAAGTAATTATTATATCGAGGAAACTGAGATTGATGGACCATAGACTGCGAGGTAAAAATCCAGCTCTGAGGGGCTCTTTACAACTGGCAAAATCGATCAGTCACAGTCACTCACAGTACATCGCTACACAGTACCAAGAGGCCAAATATTTTACTTGTTGGGGTTTTCCTCGTGGGGATGTGAGGGGCCCGAAGGCAGAAAAAAAGTGCATTGTTTTGGGTCCTGCCTGGATAGGTTTAATTTGGCATTGTATGCCATAATAAAATTGGTGCAAATTGTTGTACTTGGAAAACGATTCCCAATCAGTTCCATCATCTGATTGTCAATTTTTAATGTTGTTGGAGACTTCATTTCTCTGCAAGTAGGCACAACTATACAACTTGCTCCTGGCAACTTGCTACATTCAAAAGGTCAAAAGATCCATGTTTAATTCATTCGAATCATTTTTTTTTCATAGAGAAGAGTTTGTGGTTTGAAACAAGAGATGTCCTTAAATTTTGAAATTTAAATTTATTATACGTCACTTTTTAAAGAGTCAATTGAATTAAATATTAAGTTCAAGTCATTCATATTATAAATGAAACAAACAAAATCATTAAAGTTGAAATTATGAATCAAGCTTAAAAGAAAGAATAGAATTTTATATTGAGGGAGGCCAAGTTTTATAATATAATTTTATCAAAAATTTTTGGAGAGTCATGAACCTGCCTGCCCCTGGATTCACCCTTGATCCATACCTTTTGATAAAACCAAGCACAAATTGTATTTGCAATTACAAAATTATACAACTTATTGAATATTTCCAGATGAATTCTGCTATCTAAACCTTTTTTTTTTTTTTTCAAAACAGTCCCATTACTCACAAGAACATAAAATTTAATTATACTATAACTCAAATAGGCATTTAATTTTTATCATCTTTCTTGCACCATCTTGGCTTCCAAAATTTGCCCCTTTTAGCATTTCTGATCCTAGAAATATTATTAATAAACATAAAAACCAAAAAAAAAAAATTATGCTGGATTTAACTATATAGAAAAAATCAAGTAAATCATAAACCAAACAAATCGAGATATGATTTATAAAATAAAACATTTTATGAAAAATAATAAATCCCTCATTTTTTACCGCTTATTTGGCTATTCAAATACCAAATTCATTTCACATATTTTTGACATGATTTATCATAATCAAATTAAACCCAAATTTATTTTCAGTTATCATAGTAATCAATTTTAAATGTAACATTTAATAAATTTAAATTTTAATACGTATAATTTTTTATATAAAAAATTAAATTATAAATTACATCAAATCATAGCATAACATACTAACCAATCATGCATGCCACCGGTTGAGGATGCTAATATGAATAATTCCAACCTTGTTTCCCTTCTTCACACATCCTAACAACACAGTCCACTGAATGCTTCAAAACCATGTGATAGAGAGATGTTTTAAAATAATTTAGAATTTACCAAAGATTAAAAAAAAAAAAGAAAAGAAATTAGCTTTTTATTATTAACAATAATAATATAGATTTTTTTTTTATGCCAACCGTCAATGCCCTCAACTTTTGAGGCCAAAAAATGGTTGGCTTGATGCTGAAATGTGGCTTGATGCATCCCGCTTTCCCACACCCTACGCCCCCATGTGCCTGCCACGTGAAGTTTGCTTATTTTTTCAATGTTATTACCAAATTGACTAAAACACCCCCCTTCTTTTAATCATTTTATTCACTTTATTTCGTTTTCTTTCCCTATCTTTGTTTACCTTGTTATAAAATTAATTCTCCAAAATCTCTCTTTTTTTTATACTCATAATAGTTTTATTTTAAATATTTAAAATTTTTGGCCAAAAATATTTTAATTGAATAATTTAATTTTTTGTTAAATTTTTATAATTTTAATTATGTCAAAATTCAATGATAATTTCTCAAAATTGATTTCATAAGGTCAAATCAATTAATTAATCAAGAGTAGATATAATAATTCATGTATTTATATAACATTTTATATAAAATTTATGTATCATAATTTATATTAACACATAAAAATATAAAATATAAAATATTATTTTTATAAAATTTTTAAATCATATTATATCTATTCTTTTAGTTTAATTTCAATTTTTATTAGAAGTGAGAAAATGATTTAAGAAAATAAAAATCCATTAAAAATTATAATATTTAATTTAGATTGGATCAATTTTTTTATTTGATTAAAATTAAGTTTAAATACTAAATATATATATATATATATATTAAGTTCGGATCAAATATTAAATTAAAAATAAAAAATAAAAAAATCAAACAAAATAGAATTATATATTTATTAGTTTTATATTTTTTAAAATTTTTATAAAATAAAAATAAATTATTTTATATTTAAATTTATTTAAATATATTAAAAATTATATTAAAATATTATATGAAATATAAAGTATTTAAATTTAAAAAATTATTGAACGAATCAAATTAAACTAATTAATTTTGATTTAAATCGTATAAAAATTTAATTTAAATTTAAATCAGATTTTTTAAAAATTATAATTTTATATATTATTTAAAAAAATTAAATCTAATTTGATTTAATCTTATCTAAATTATTATCGTTCTTAATTTAATAAAAGATGTAAGAACCAACTTTTTACATGTTGATGTACAGACCAGTCTCCCCTACCTTGAAAACATCCATATCATTTCACCAGTTCTCAGCTGTCAATAATCCAAAGACGTTCATATCTTCGTGTCTACAATTTTGCTAAAAGTCTACTAATTTTGAAATGGGCTCCATCTATGAGTACTTGACCTTGTATGCACAGCTATGGATGTGAGAGTGAGATATGACAAACCTTCCTTTTTTTTTTTTTTTGTTTACATCAGAATCTGAAGTAAAAAAAAAGAGGAACAAACCGGTCAAGGGACGAGCCGCACTTCTATCCATTTCACTTGGCCAGTTGTGGCTGACACATTTATCGTGGAAAACAACAATTAACTGGCAAAACGCATTGGTTCACCCCCCCTGGAACAAAAATGGATTTGTTGGGGTTGGGTTGGCACTTTTGGAATGGATAAGATCTTTTCCTTTCTGACTCAACAACAAATGATTGATCTCATAAAATTAATTTTACAAATGACTATTTTAATTTCATCTATCCAAATTTTGAACTTGAGTTTTGATATCAAAATGTAAGATTGATAATTTAAAATAAAATATAATAATAATATAATTTAAAATTTTGATAAAAATTATAAAAAATTTATATTTTTATATTAATATAAATTATAATATATAATTTTTATTTAAAATATGATATTAATATAATATTTTATATGATATAATGATATAAATTATTATATCTATTAAATTATGAGTTCAAATTTTATCTTATATATTTGATCATAAATTTTTGCATAATTCAAAATTTGTGTCAGTTTGTTTAATCTAATATTTTAAAAAAAAGAAATTTTAAATTAAAATTTTAACATTTATAATTTATTTTTTGGTTTTAAATTATAATTTTTAAACTATAACTTTTTATATAAGAAATAGTAAATATTTAAAAGCATTATAATTTTTTCCTGGTATAAAAATGTTTGTACCATTGTACCAAAAAAATTGACTTTGAATTTCTTTATTTTAATATTTTTTAAATCTAATTATTGAGATTTCGAAACATTTTCAAAAACCCACGTGTAATATATGAAATCACATGTAAACAAAAAAGGATTATAATTTTTTTTTCTATTTTCCCCCAAAAAGAGTAAAACTAACGTCAGCATCTTTAAAAAGGTAACGGACCAAATAGAAACCAGGGCCATTTTGGTGAATTGGTCATTCGTTAAATATCCAAACCTCACCACAAATAAAAACCAGGGGTTGCTTAACAGGTAGTTTTCGACTCTCAATCTTGCGGGCGGGAAGTTTCTTTGCAAATCACCCAAAAAAAAAAAAAAAACGGCCCTTTTCTTTGCTTTTCTCACTCATTTTTCCGTTGTTTTCTTTGCTTTTTTTTATTTTTTTATTTTTATAAAACTATAAAATTTTTCCTGTTTTCATGGCCCCTGGTTTTGCCATCTCCACTGGCCCATATATACCATCTTCTCTCGCGCAGCTTTCTACAAACTGCATATTTTTTCATAGTTTTCTTTCATCTTCTTCTCTGTCTTTGCCAGTACCAACTACCAAGGCTTATCTTTTCGATCCAAACGAACCCATATTACACAATCTGAAACCAAACTATAAAAAACTTCAGTTTTTCTTGGTGGGGTTTTTTTGTGTGTTTTCATTGGGATTGGACTGGTTTCTTTTGATCAAAGATTCTTTTTGGTGTTAGGGTTTATGCATCAAAATAACGATCTTCAATAAGATAGCAAAAACTTTATGATGCTGGAGGGTGGACTGGTGGAGCGAAGAAAGGATATTATGACAATAAGGCATGTAAACAACAAGGTGAGGTACGTGAACAAGGCAATCAAGAAGAACAGATCATACAAGAAGAGAAAAGATCAGTCTGTTGTTCCAAGCGTTCCTGAAATGCTGCAAGAGCTGTTTGTTACTTGTAGGGGAGTCTTTAAAGGCTCTGGAACCGTTCCTTCTCCTCCTGATGTAAACAAGCTACGCAGCATTCTTGGTAAGTTATCAGAATTCAGGGTTTTTTTGCTTGATTTTTGTTAAAAACTGGGTTTGGCTTTTGGTCGTGCTGGTGCAGTATCATTTTTCTCAATGCATATTAATTCTCCCATGAAATAATTTACCAAATCAAACCAAAATAATTAATGCTAAAATATTGATATATGAACATCAGCCAATAAGCCATCTAATCTAAGTCAAATAATTCTTCAGTTTTGTCTGGGCATTTATTTTTATCATTTATAGCAATAGTTTTGGGTTTATACCAAAATCAAAGATGCTGTCACTGTCCAGAAGTAGCTGGATTCTAGTGGTTACATGTAGAATTTAGGAATCAAGATGTTGAGATTTTTTTATATATAGTGAAAATCCAGTTTCTGTAAATTGTTCAGTACTGTTATTTTGTAGTTTTCACTGTTATATAACACATCTAAATCAGTTTAATTTTATCAAATCTTTACTACTAAATATTCTTGATACATGCATGAAGATTGACATTAAAACAAATGGGATCTTTCTTTGATTACTCTTAGCTGTTTATAGACCAACTTGATTCTGTCATTTGCCACTTGGTTTCTCACTATTCCTGAAAAGAATGATGTTTGAATTTGCCAAACAAACACTGAAGATTTTGATAAGAATAAGAAAAAGGTTATTCACAGAGGGGAAAAAAAAAAGGACAGGAGATGAATGATAATGGTTGCTTGCAGATGAGTTAATTCAGTCAAAGTCGTGGCCTTTTTTCCTCCATACACGTGTGCCCTTGAGTGGATACCAAACAGTAATTTCAAAAATGAATACCTTATTATAATTTGCTTTAGGCCACACCAATCTTTTGCCCCTTTTCAATACCCCATGTGACAATGTGAGCAACCTTAATAACTGCTCCATCAAAACAATTTGATCCATACTCAGATTTTTTTATTTAAAATTGTCAGGAATTTTGATTATTAAAATTAAAAATTTAGCACTCTATCCATAAATTAAGCCTTTAATTTGTTGCCTTAATGCTGTATATATATAACAAGGTTTACTTATTTCTATGTGCGCATACTGGTTTTGAATCTAATTGAATGAAAATTTATTAAATATTTCTATCTTCTTTGTGCATTGTGTATGAGAGTTCTATCATTTCTTTATTTAACTTTTGGTGATTAATTTAGTTGCATTAGTAATGGAACCGGCACTATTGACATTGTATCATTTTCATTGGTAGATAAGATGAAGCCAGAAGATTTTGGGCTTAGTAGAGATCTAGAGTTCTTCAAGGCTACCGGCGCTGTGAAAGGAAATCCAAGGGTCACAAATACAACCATATACCAATGTGATGAGTTTTCGGTAAAGATATTGGCTGTCTCTCATTTATTATTTGGTTACATATTATTGATTTTTAAACTAACCATATGCATTAGTATTATTTTCACAGATTTATTTGAAACTATATTATTGGTTTACAGAAAATGGTTTTTTTTTTTTTTATGTTTTTTATTCACACATTCTATCATGGACTGATCAATTACTGAAAGGATTATATAATCCAACCTATGGATAAAAATGTCATGTGGTTACATGTCACCTTGATTTTGGAAGCCAACAGCTCCGTAGCTTGTTGGTAGGGCATTGCTGGACTTTTAGTTTCCGTGATCAGTTCAAAATTTGACAACTTCAAATATAAAAAGGAAAAACTTGATTTTAAATGCTGATTGAATTTCTTGTTATTTTCCTGTTGTGCAGATGTGCATATTCTTTCTTCCAGCAACTGCTGTCATCCCTCTCCATAACCATCCAGGGATGACTGTTTTCAGCAAGCTTTTACTAGGAAAAATGCATATAAAATCCTATGATTGGGTTGATCCTGTCAATTCTGAAGACTCTATGCCACCCAACTCCAAATGTGAGAATTAATCCATCTTTTGCTTGATCATGAACTAATTTGAATCTCAGAAAAGAATTTATTTTTGACCTTGATGTGATTATTATTCAATTTTGCAGTAAGATTGGCAAGGTTGAAGGCCAATAGTGTCTTTACTGCCCCATGCGACACCTCCGTCTTGTATCCTACAACGGGAGGTAATATCCATCAATTCACAGCGATAACACCTTGTGCAGTGCTTGATGTTCTTGGTCCTCCTTATTCTAAAGAAGACGATCGCGATTGCTCCTATTACAAAGATATCCCATACTCAGCTTTCTCGAGTAAGTAAAGTTTTTGATCACTTATCTGCTTAATCTAGTTTAGCTAGGCAGGCTGTGTCACCAAAGTCTCAACTCGTGTCAATTGGGCTGTGCAGATGGAGAAACTAGAGTGAGTGAAGAAGAGATTGAAGATTTTGGATGGTTGGAAAAAATTGAAGCGCCAAAGAATTCAAGGATGGATAGCATTGAGTACTTGGGTCCTCAGATCATAGAAACCAGTTACTAAGAATGTCCGATGAAAATAGTTATAAGAAAGTCCGATAAAGATGGGAGAAACAGTCCTCAATTGGTGGTGTAAAGTGCTGGAGTTTTAGCTGGACTTTTTGTTAAAGTGATCAGAAATGTTGAATTCTTAATTTCAGTAATCACAGAGTATCAGGTGCAAATTCAGCTTCAATTACCTTTAAAAAGTTAGATGTTAATTACCTTTCATAAGAAAACGATAAAAAGTTACAAAAAAAGAAAACAACGAAATTATGGTCAAGTTTGGCAAGATACAATTGTTTTATTCCGTTGGTGCTTTGAAAGTTAGCCTTGTAAATGGTGGAAATAGCAGTGTTTTTTTGAATGGTGTTGATGAAATGGTTACGTACTTTTGCTTTGAGCAACTGGAGGTATTGTTGGTTTGATCGGTTAGGCTCATGGTTTATGAAAAATTTTCCTGTAGCTTGAGAAAAGACTTGGGCTCCAAATATTTAGTCAATTTTGGTGAAAAGGTTGGTTTATATTAATAACTCTTCTCATATACCACCTTTTTTTCATTGGGGTTTGACATTTTCTTTGTCTAGACTTATCCATAGATATTTTTCTTGCAAATTAAGGTACAAGAAAATATTATTATATATTATATATAATAATCTCTTACAGTTTCAAATATCATAATATATAATAATATAATAGATAATGCATTAGACGTAGTTCCATGCATTCACGTCAGTAATTGAATCTTGGAAGTTTCATATTGATGATAAAAATTCTTAAAATAATAAAAAAAATTGCCATCCATTTTTATTTGACAAAATTGGACGTGAAAAATAAAAATAAAAAGGAAAGATGAGCAAAATGGAGGAAAAAAAAAGGAAAGAGTAAATTCCAATAGAAGGTGCATGGCCTTTTGGGTGTAAAAGAATGTCTGTCCCTTCTTAAAATAAAAAATAAAAATCATGTACTAACTGGGCCATTCAAAAACATTCAAATTCTCTGGTAAGTAAAGTTTTTGATGATTTATCTGCTTAATTTAGTTTAGCTAGGCAGGCTGTGTTACCAAAGTCTTAACTCGTGTCAATTGGGCTGTGCAGATGGAGAAACTAGAGTGAGTGAAGAAGAGATTGAAGATTTTGGATGGTTGGAAAAAATTGAAGCGCCAGAGAATTCAAGGATGGATAGCATTGACTACTTGGGTCCTCAGATCATAGAAACCAGTTACTAAGAATGTCTTATGAAAATAGTTATAAAAAAGTCCGATAAAGATAGGAGAAACAGTCCTCAACTGGTGGTGTAAAGTGCTGAACGCTGGAGTTTTAGCTAGACTTTTTGTTTAAGTGATCAGAAATGTTGAATTCTTCATAGCGAATCAGTTACAAATTCAGCCTCAATTACTTTAAAAAGGTTAGATGTTCATTATCTTTCATAAGAAAAAGACAAAAGTTACAAAAAAAAAGAAAACAATGAAATTATGGTCAACTTTGGCAAGATATATTTATTTTATTCCGTTGGTGCTTTGAAATTTAGCCTTGTAAATAGTGGAAACAGAAGTGTTTTTTAAAATGATATTTATGAAATGGTTACGTACTTTGCTTTGAGCAACTGGAGGTATTGTTGGTTTGACAGGTTGGGCTCATGGTTTATGAAAATTTTTCCTGTGGTTTGAGAAAAGACTCGAGGCTCAAAAGATTTAGCCAATTTTGATGAAAAGGTCGGTTTGTACTAATAACTTTTATCATATGCCACCTTTGTTTCATTGTGGTTTGACATTTTCTTTATATAGACTTATCCATAGATATTTTTCCTGCAAATTAAGGTACAAGAAAATATTATTATATATTATATATTATATATAATAATCTCTTACAGTTTCAAATGTCATAATATATAACAATATAATAGATAATTCATTAGACGTGGTTCCATGCATTCACGTCGGTAATTGGATCTTGGAAGTTTCATATTGATGATAAAAATTCTTACAATAATAAAAAGAACAATTGCCATCCATTTTTATTTGACAAAATTGGATCTGAAAAATAAAAATAAAAAGGAAAGATGAGCAAAATGGAGGAAAAAAAAATGAAAGAGTAAATTCCAACAGAATGTACATGGCCTTTTGGGTGTAAAAGAATGTCTGTCCCTTTTTAAAATAAAAATAAAAATCATGCACTCGCTGGGCCATTCAAATTACCATCTTCATAACCCTCCAACAGCCCATGAAAAGCCCAAAAAAGTGAGTTTTAAGTTATAACTCGCAGAATTTTTTTTTAATATATATAAAAAAGACAAAAAAAAAAAGTTTTGTTGAAATCTGCTAGATTTTTTGTAAAAAATATTAAGGGTAAATTTCAGGTTGGCCATGAAAGAGACAATTGCTGACTTCTAAAACAAATTTTCAAAGAATGAGAATAACCCATGATCTTCCATTGAAATGCGACTGATTGCTGCTGCAAACATAGGAAAGTGACAAGAACTATTCATAAAGGAATCAAAAATTCAAAATGCCAAAACTGTCCTCGCCATATACAATTTTATATGAAAAAACAAGGGGTATCCCAGGTATTTTGACCACTAGGAGGGCCAGGATTTGGGGTCCAAATCTGTGGCCACAATGAAGTCTCAATTGGGTCATTAAAAAACATCCAATCTCCCATCAATATCTTCCAACAATAAACTTTCAACAATATTGGATTTGAAGTTTTGAAAATTTTCCAAGAAAATAATTCAGCAATAAGAGTGAAAGGCAAAAGAAAGAAGGAAAAGGACATTGTTTCCCACAACCTTTAGCATATCTCAATTCTATGGTGAGTTTTTGTTACTTTAATAAGTGGGTCTTGATATCTTTTAGAAAGTTCCCCAATGGAAATTTGCTTTTCCCTGTTTGAGTTCCACCGCCTTGCTGGTTACTCTCACTGTTTCCTCCACCACAAACTAATGTTAGCAAAATTGTGTAAAGAAATTTATGAAATCTATTTCCCAAGTCAAATCAAATTAATTTCAATTATGTACCTTAGACTTTGTCTTTTTTTTTTTTTTTTGTAATTTTAGGTCTTCACAACAGAAAAGCAATGATAATGTTAAGATGGATTAGTTAAGTGAAAATTGACCATTAAACTTCATGTTTATTTGAAACCTATTAAACTTGGATTTAACCAAAACAGGAGGCATTGAAAGGACCAGAACTTCTACTTTTTCTTAAGAAAAAACCCGTTGGTAAGTTATAAATTATAGTAATAGTAATGCTAAAAATGTAAACGAACGGAATTTTTAATATATCGTTTACGAATATATTTAATATTTATTTATTTATTAAATTTAACAAATAATTTAAATAATATTTTTACGTTCATTTATTAAATGAATCAAATATGAATAAAAGTCTATTTGACGTGTTTGATTCGATTATATTTATAAATAAACTCGTTTAAAAATTATTTAAAATTCATTCATCTAAGGTTTATTTATATTTATTTATTATTCAGTAATAATAATAAAAAAATTTATATTTTTATCTTTTATTTTAATTATATTTTATAATTCATTTATATTCATTTAGGATTTGTTTAAAGTCTGTTTATTAAAATTTATTTGGTTATAATTTATTTATTATTCATAAATATTTTCGTTTAATATTTACAAACGAGTTTTTTTCATTTAACTTAATTGAATTAAACATAAATCAAATATAAACATCTTGCTAGTTATATAAACCAAACTCGAACAAATAAAATAATTTTTTTATTAATCACAAATTGATTTCGAACACCTTTAAAAGTAAATGAATAAACCATAGATATACGATTGTTCAGTTCATTTACATTCTTCAATAATACTCAATAGCTAAAACTTTTATTTAGAGGGATTATTAAATTGACTTATATAAGATTAAAAACAATAATGACCATAAAATTAATTAAATGGTTATTAAATGCACCTTTTTTTTTTCTCTTTACACTCTAGTTTTTTTTTTTTTATATATAAGTAAAATTATTTACTTATCCTTTCTCACAAGTTTATAAATATCCATTTTCAAAAAATCATATAACTTTTTGAAAATTCATTTTCAAAAAATGAAATGTAGACATCAAATCTGTCTAGGGTCTGTTTATTTTTGTTAATTAGAAATAATAAAGAAAAATAAAGAAAAAATAATAAAAATAAAAAATTAGAAAAATTTTAAGGTAGTTGGATTTGCTTAGGGCTATTTTTTTGGAGTTATCAAAGTTGTGATAAATTCAAAATTAGAGATTGAATTTAAAAAGGATCGAAACTCCTTGAACTTTAAGGTTACCTGATCCTATAAATACAAGCTTGCATTAAAAAAAATAGAAAGCAATAAAAACACAATGTTCAGAGAAGAAAAATTACATGAAAGCAGATAGAAGGTGTGAAAATTTTTAGGGAAATTTTTGGGAAAAACAATCAAGGTTTTTTTCTTTTGAAATTTTTTGAAAAATTTTCAAATTTCGATGAAATTTTTTACGTTGGTTGAATTTTTCAGCATCAGTTGAATTTTTTTATAGGCTTTTCAGAATCCAATGAAGATTCTAATGAAAGTTGAATTTTTCGACGAATTTCTAACGAACCAACCCATTCGGGGTTAAAAAGTGAGGGAAATAAAGGAAATGATGAGAAAGAGATGGGAAGAGAAAATATGGTGAAAAAAGATCGAATTCAAACTTTTATGTCGGTCTCAAAACGACGTCGTTTTCACCTTAAGAAGCCTTAGGGTCTGAGCGTTTCTATTTAGGCGACCTAACTCATAGTGTTTTTAACCTGTGTTCGCTCGCCTCCAGCTTTTAACTCCAGTTGAGTTGAGTCGTGAGTCGAGTTGCCAAGTTACGTCATTGGAGCCACCTTTTCTGTCTCTAGCCAAGCCAAATAGTTTCATTTTTTTGTATTTCTTATTTTTATTTATGTGTTTGTTTTTTTTTAGGGGCATTTTTTTGCATGATTAAGTTTAAAGAACATAAATTTTTCTTTTAGAATAAGCATTAATTATCCAATGATGAAATTTTTAAAAAATTTCAAATGGTAAATTTCTATAAAATTTCTAGGTAAGAAATTTTATTTAAATTTATCCGAAATGGTGGAATAATTTAGATAAAATTTCAATAAAAATAATTAATATTTATTTTCAAACAAAAAAAGAAAATATTAAAAAATATTAAAATTTTGAAAAAATATTAATTACCCAAGGTTGAGATCTTAAGAAATTTCAGATGGTAAATTTTTTAAAAAATCTCTAGGTGAGAAATTTCTCTAAATTTATCCCAAATTGTGAAATTATTTAGAGGAAATTTCAATAAAAATAATTATATTCTTTTCCAAATAAATTTTTAGTTGAAAATATTTGACAATAATCAAAGAATGAGAATCTTAGAAATTTTAAATGATAAATTCTTAAGAAATCTCTAGGTGAGAAATTTCTTTAAATTTGTCTTAAATGGTGAAATAATTTAAATGAAATTTTTTAAAAAATAATTGTCATATTATTTTCTTTCTAAAAAAAAGAGAAATAAAAAAATTTTCTAAATAGGCCTAAATAGTGAAAAATTTAGAAATTCAAAATGAAAAAATATTTCTAATTTGGTTTAAATGGTGAAATAATTAGATGTATTTTTTATAAAAAAACCAAAAAATAAAACTAAAAACAAAATTTTTTTTGACTACGAAATTTCTTCAAGAAAACAAATGAGATTCTTAAATACTCTTGATATGAAAAAATATTTTTAAGAATGTAATCAGATTGATAGACAAATCTTAAGAATTATTTTCAATATTTCAACATAAATTTTAAAACCATTGGAATCAAGACCTTAAGATAAATTTAAAATTAAATGGTACCATCATTTGGATGAGCATGTGGGGATGCTATAACATTCTACATATGTAATCGAACTCCTGAATCTTATTTTGATTTGTAGACCTGAATCTATTTTTAAATGGTACAATCATTTGGATGAGCATGTGGGGATGCTATAACATTCCACATATGTAATCGAACTCCTGAATCTTATTTTGATTTGTAGACCTGAATCTATTTTTTTAGAGACTCTTAATTAAACTTAGAAGTTCCTTAAAAGAATGATTTATTAGGTGGTTAATCACACCTAGTTAAAAAAGATTGGTGTTGATTCAATTTGTTAAATTTAACTATAAATTTACGAATCTATATGTTATGACATTGAATAGTAAAAATTAAAAAAAATAACAAAAAAGAGAAATTTATTATAATTTTTTATTAATTAATGTAAAAAAAGTTATTATTAAAAAAATCATAAATTTAAAATTAATAAAAAATTAATTTTACTATTTTTATTTTTTTTTTATAAATTTAAAATTCCTATTGTTTTAAATAAATATAGTTTTGATATTGATTATTAAAATTTTATAATAACTCTAATTAAACTGAAATGGAAAATTGTCTCATCATCTTTTAATCATGATAGGTTTTTTTGGTTAATATATTAGATTTTGATAAAATTATGTAATATTAATTAATATTATTTGTACAACTTTTAAGAGTTTTAATTTTTAGATGTTGATCAAATTTGATAGTTCATTCATTATCTCTCATAACATTAAGAGATGAAATGTTTAATTAGAGTTTTATAAATTTTTTTTTTTTAAGATCAAAATAATAAAATTAATTTTTAAAATTTATGATTTTTTTAATAATAGCTTTTTTCATTAAACTAATTAATAAAAATTCTAATAATTTTTCTAAAATTTTCACTATTTCACTTTCTGAAAATAAATTTTGAAATATCATATAAGTTTTCAAAAAACCAAAACTTACCGGAAATGAATATTAAAAAATTTGTTAGAAAAGATAATTAAATAATTTTACTAACAAAAAATTTTAAAAAAATGGAGTGTGAAAAGAAAAAATAGGATTTAGCTCCCATCAATTAATTATTTTAAGGTGAAAATAAAATCATTTTATCATAATTGAAAAATATTTTATATTTCAATTTTAACTAAAACAATCAACTTTTATGTGCCATTCACTGAACCATCCCTCTCAAGTCTCCTCTCCGAAGGAACGATAGACTCAATTTGATCGTAAAATACTATCTAATGCACCTCATCAAGCAGTTGGCTAAAAAAAGCCGAAAACTTTTTAAAGTGATTATGAAGGAATATAAAATACAGTACAAAGAACAGGGAGATGGAAGTAGTGTGAGACAGTCTGGCTAGCATGACAAGGCAAGATGCCTGTATGAGTTCCAAGGCAATAAATCAAGAATTTGATATCACCAATTAATCATGCCACATGCTTATTGCAATTGCAAAAAAATAAAAATAAAAAATCGATATCCCTTATTCTTTTTGGTCATAAATAAAACCGTGTTCTTTACTATTCATTACTCTAGGATTCAGTTTTAAATTAAATTTCTGACAAGTGGGTTCAGGCCAGAAATATTTATGGTCCTGATCTGAGCTGTGTTTTGTAATTGAAACCTGTTTTTTCTCTGATGCTTTTTAGGTTTGTGTAATGTGGAGAATGTGGGGGTTGATAAAGGCACTGTGGTTGACTACCAATTTCTTGAATTATGTTTGGTTTTCCCCAAAATTTACTTCATGCAACAATTAATCCATAACCAATTCTTCCATCTTTAAGCCAAACATGTTTTAACTAAACATTTCCAATATTTGGCAAAGTCATCTTTCTTCCAGGGTATATATCCATGTTCTAGGGAAGGTGCTGTAGTATATAATCCTGGCACTTGGTTGCAATTGCCAATACAATTTCTTCTTCTAACAGTTAAAAATTAAGTTAGAGAGATTTCTTACATCAATAAAAGCCAAAATAATTATATATATGATAATTTATATATTCATATTATATAATTTTATGTCAAATATATATAAAATATAAAAATTATCATGTTATAATTCATGTTTATATGTCAAAAATATAAATTTTTACTTTCACCAAATCTACATACAATTTTTTTAAATTTTAAATGATATCGATTTCATATTTTTTTTGTTGTGTTATTATATCATGTTTAAAATTCATAAGTCTATATATAATCAAAAGAATTTGTTGGACTTATGGAAGAGCTATATTTTCTTTTTCAAGTACCAAATTGAGGTAACGAGCAGTAAAAAACTATTGATTTTACAAATTTCTTAGCCCTTGTTCGAAGTATGATGGTTCAATAATGATATATTGATATTCATTTGAGATTTGAATTGAAGTCTTGTAATTTTACAAGAGAAGTGAAAGATTGCCTTGGTTGTAGGGCATGTTGGGTGGCTTTTCAGCAAGCTATAGAGGGTCCAGAAGTTTGGAGGTTCAAAGAATAATTGAATACTAAAAGGCGGCTTGGCAATAAGGCATCTTGAATAATTCTATGCTTTTTAAATTCTAATCATTCATCTTCTGATAATGCAAATTTTGATCTACTATTTGAAACCTCAAGGTGTCTTTCAAGAAAAAAAAATAATGCAATTAGTTCTAAGCTGGAACTGATAACAGTGTCACCAGTCATATAATAATGGAGCGAGCTGAATTTAAAAAATGAGAAGTTCACTATTGGAGTTAAGTGCAAGTGGAACTCACTAGGCCTAGCAGCGAAGCAAAGAGAAAAGAAAAATAAAAAATGAAAAGAAAGGCGCCAAAGGTAACAGACTGAACCATGGAAGTGGGGTCACAGCTTAAAGCAGACAGGACTACAGAAAGCCAAAGTTTACCAGACCCAGAAAGCGAAAGCTTTCATTACAGTCTGTTCTTATGTGACTTAACATGTTTTTATTTGTAACATAAACTTTTCATTCCATTATTTATCCAAATCTGATAAATAAAAGCCTGTTTGCATTACAAACTGAATTATGGGGAATAAAGGGTTCTTCTCTCTTCTGCAGGATTCCTTTTTTTTCTTTTTCTTTTTCTTTTCCATATCCAGCTATATCTTCTTTCTCTTTTTGTTTTTGGTCACAAGCTATAGCGTCTCTTTAAGACTCTCTTAAGGGGAAAAAAAGAACAGTGACAAAGTTATAGAAAGAAAAAGAAACTTGTTTGTGGGTACTCTTTTTTATTTTTTTTTTCCTTGAGAAAGAAAATCTGAAATGTCGGTTTGTGGGATTTACAGGACAGCTTTGGTGTGAAACATCTGGCTGTTACAAGTTTCTTTGAAGAAACCCGTGTCACATGCTTGTCTTGGCTTGCATCATCAAGAAACTGACACCGGTTTTAGAAAAAAATTTCTCCTTCTGTCAGTAGGATTTAGAGGTGTCCCTGAGTGATTGTATGGTTGATAAGTTTTTTGGGTTGTTTTTGTTATAGTGGTGGTCAAAAGAGTTAGAGGACAGTTCTGGAAAGAAACAAGAAACCAACTGAAGTGGGGTTTTGGTTGGGGGGGGGGGGGGGTTTGTGTGTGAACAGGTGAAGTGTGAAATGCAAGTGAAAGTCCATAATCTTAATTTGGTTTAAGGTCACTTTGAAAGGTGATGTTCTATTTTTGGAGAGCTTTCTTTGAGGGATTTTGGCAGAAAATTTCTTTTTTTGAAGTCACAATTATTGATTCTTAAGTTGGTCTTAATAGTAAAAAGTCTCAAGTGCTCTCCAGCAAGAAATTCCTGGTCCAAACTTGTCTGCGTCTACCTTTTCAGGAGTACTAAGAAGAAAGAGATGTAGTTTTGCAGGGCACACCAGTTGAGCTGGGGTCTGTTTAATCCGTTCTCTCAAGAGGTAAGCTTTCTAAATCTTTGAAACAAGTTATAGTGCTAAGAACATTGTATTAAAAATGTGTTATACAATAATAAATTCAGTCAAAACTTCTCATAAGGAGCAATAGGCCTCTATAAATAATAAATTTTACGAACTATATTTGATTTTGTTGAGTGTCTCTTTAGTGCTAAATATCTCTATTAAAAATATAATTTTGTGCCAAATTTGAAAGCCTCAATTTTGTATCTATTTGAGTTTATTTCTTTTGCCAATGTTATGACTATGGTAATGTTTGCAGAGTTTCAAACTACAACACCCTTTCTGCTGTTTCTGCAAATGTGGAAAACAAATTACAAGCTTGCTACCTATTTTGAGTTGATGGTATCTCTGCAGCTTATGCTCATTTTCTAGTCCTTCAAAGCTGCTCAGTGCTTTTCCCCTAATGCTGGCTCTGTATATGGTTCCAATGGCTAAAGGATTCAGGCATCAGGCATGCTTAGTTCTTGCTATCATTTTACTTTTAATCAATCAGTCAGAGCAACTACAATCCTCCCAGACTCATACCCTTTTAAGACTTCAACTGCTTTTGAATTATCCAGATATTTTAAGTAGCTGGAATAGCACCATAAACTTCTGCAATGCTGAACCTACATCCCAAGTAACCGTGGTATGCTATGAAGAAAGCATAACTCAGCTGCATATAATTGGAAATAAAGGAAGTCCTTCGTTACCTAGAAACTTTTCCGTGGATTCCTTTGTCACAACACTTGTTAAGCTTCCAAACTTGAAAGTCCTTACATTGGTTTCTCTTGGTTTATGGGGGCCATTGCCTGGTAAAATTGCACGTTTATCCTCATTGGAAATACTTAACATGACCTCAAATTTACTATATGGAGCCATCCCTCATGAGCTTTCATCTGTAACGAGCCTTCAAACACTCATACTTGATGATAACATGTTCTCTGGTCGGCTACCTGAATGGCTAGGTTTATTTCCAGTTCTGGCTGTTCTGAGTTTGAGGAAAAATTTGTTCAATGGCTCTTTGCCTGATTCTTTTAGCAGTTTGGAGAACCTTAGAGTTCTTGCACTTTCACATAACCACTTTTTTGGAGAAGTGCCTGATTTTAGCAGTTTGACAAATCTTCAAGAGCTTGATCTAGAAGATAATGCTTTTGGATCTCAGTTTCCTCAGCTTGGCAACAAGTTGGTTCGCCTTGTATTGGGAAAGAACAGGTTTAGGTCTGGCCTTGCATCTGAATTGAGCTCCTATTACCAACTTCAATGGCTGGACCTGTCATTCAATAGATTTGTTGGGCCATTTCCTCCATCATTGTTATCCCTACCTTCCATTACTTATTTGAATATTGCAGACAACAAACTCACTGGGATGCTTTCTGAAAATACATCTTGCAATGCAGAACTTGAATTTGCAGATTTATCCTCAAATCTTTTGACTGGACACTTGCCTAGATGTCTTTCAGATTCTAAAGACAGAGTTTTCCTCTATGCTCGAAATTGCCTGGCAACTGCAAAGGAAAATCAACATCCCCTTTCCTTCTGCCGCAATGAAGCCTTAGCTGTGGGAATCTTACCTCATCATAAGAAGACCAAACCTTCTAAAGTAACTCTTGCCTTGGGCATAACTGGAGGAATTATTGGTGGAATAGTACTTCTTGGTCTCATTTTCATATTTGTTAGGAGGTTGAATGCAAATAAGACAATCAATAAACCTACTACAAGATTGATTGCAGAGAAAGCATCAACTGCATACACATCAAAGTTACTATCCAATGCAAGTAAGGCTCCTTTCTGTCTCTCTTTCTCTAGTTACAGATAATGATTCCAAATAGACTTGATTAACTAAGAATACTTTCTTAGGCTCAAGTTCAAATATGGTTTAACAAAAAACTCCAGTTGAATGTGAAATTGTTAGATTCCACAACCCTATGAGCATCTCATTTGTTGGTTAGTACAAATGCATAGAGAACAAAAAATAAATATAAAATAAATGTGTCCTACCATAGCTGTCATTACTTGCAAATCTGACCATATGACTTTTGGCTACTTGAAGGGTATATATCTCAAACAATGAAGCTGGGTGCACTCGGACTTCCGGCTTTTCGAACATTTTCGTTGGAAGAACTTGAGAATGCTACAAACAACTTTGACACAACTGCTTTCATGGGTGAAGGTTCTCAAGGGCAGGTAGTTAATATGGTTAATATATACCTGATACTTTTGCCTTGCAGCAGTGTAGTTTACTCCCATGATTTTTTTTCAACCATGAGCTTCTTGAAGCTCTATTTCACAACCATGATAGGTTTTCTTACTATGCTTCCTCTAATAACAGACTTTTCTGGCTGGTTGATTCCATATAACTCATTTTCAGCCTTTTGGTTTTGCGAATTAAAATTGGTTTCAATAGCCTTTGTCCTTTGCTTCTTGTTTCTTGATCAAGCCTTCTTCCTTTTGTTACTTTCTTATTACCTTGTTCGAGTATAAAACCAGTTAAAAGTGGAATGATTCTCTAACACGGTACCAAAGTTTGTTTAAACCGGTGGTCTGATTTTCAAATCCCAGTAGCCTTGTCATTGGTTAAACTAATTTCAACACATGATACTAAGTGAGCCTGTGCTTCAACAATTTGCAACGGCATAATGTGCTTTCATGTAAATTGTCCAAACCATCTACTAGCTTTAGTGACCATTTATTGAGTCTTTTCTGGTCGTGTTATTTTTATCTGCATCCAAAATAAGGGAAAGTTTCCTATGTAAAATCCTTTAAACCTTTGCTTTTTATGATTTCAGATGTATAGAGGTCAGCTGAAAGATGGCACCTTTGTGGCCATTAGATGCCTGAAAATGAAGAAAAGACACAGCACTCAAAGCTTTATGCACCATGTAGAGCTGATTTCTAAATTGAGATATCGCCATTTAGTCAGTGCTCTTGGGCATTGCTTTGAGTGCTACCTGGATGATTCAACTGTCAGCAGAATATTTCTCATCTTTGAATACGTACCAAATGGCACTCTGAGGAGCTGGATATCTGGTAATCTGAAACTCTATGTTAAATTTTTTCTGGAATGAGGATTTTGAGGCCACACTATATGAACCCTTCTTCTCTGCATCTTAGGGTGACTAGACACATTAATTATTCTCTAGAGGAAAAGTGCATTTTGTCAGTTCTATGACTAGAAGAGTTCTTTGCCTCACCTTTTGATCATTCGAGTGGATCATTTAAAAGTATGAAACAAAAGGAAAAATGGTTATGACAATGAGTGACTGCTTTGTTCAGATTGTTTCGCTGTTGTTCATCTACAGGACATTGGTATCCAATCTGTTTCATGTTATGGTGACATAAAAGCACCATTTCATTTTCCTGTCCTCCATCCTGACAGACCTGAATGTTTATTTTATCATCTTTAGTTTGGATGGCATGTTATCTCTGACATTCTGGTTAACAGAAGGACATGCCAGACGATCACTTACATGGGCACAACGCATATCAGCTGCAATAGGGATAGCAAAGGGCATCCAATTTTTGCACACAGGGATTGTGCCTGGTGTGTACTCAAATAAATTGAAGATAACTGATATTTTGATGGACCAGAACCTTGTTGCAAAAATTAGCAGTTACAACCTTCCCTTATTAGCGGAGAGTGCAGGAAAGGTATGAACAAATTATGTAGGAACTTTTTGCTTCCTTGAAGTGGACGTTGCGAGATAATATTTAGCACTACTCATTCTTGCAGGTAGGTCATGGAACTTCTGTTCTACCCAAGGATCCAAGTAATAGTGCAAGGTTTGTAATGACATCTTGGATGATACTGATATTACAGTTATAGTTCGAACAGATATTGCTCAAGTAAGATGTTCATGATGCTTTTTAGCACGTAAACGGCAAGTGACTGCATATCACCCTAATTGTATTTATCTGTATATGATTTCTTTAAAGGTAATATTCATGTGAGCAAGATCTATAAATTTTACTTGTATGAGAAGTAAGGACTTCCATTGATCTGAAATCTTATTCTCCATACAATCATTCTTCTTTTGGGATAGCTAATTTATTCATTCCCTTGAAGTTCATCCCCTCTGAGTTTAAGTCAGTGTCAATAATGGGAGGATCTAAAGTATGATAATTCATTAAACTGTTGGCTTTGGCTTCTGTAACTTGACAGGGTAAGTTATGAAGATAAGGCTGATGTCTATGATTTTGGAGTGATTTTACTAGAAATGATTCTGGGGAAGCCATCAAAATCCAGGAATGAAGTCCAAATCCTTAAAAATGAGGTAAATCATAGTCTTACTTTGTGATAATTGTGAGTTCCAATTCTCATTCCCATTTTCTTTCATTTCTAATCACAAAACACAAAAGACAAACATTTTCATGACAGACAACAAAAACTTTGAACTTAAGATATGAACTTAGAACGCATACAAGTTGGTTGCCATCAACAGATACATGTGGTTTACTTTTATTGGCCCCTTCATAAAGAGGTCAGCCAATGTTTTGTAATATTCGTCCAAGGTATCAGCAAGAGGAAGAAAACATATTTTTACTTCTTTTTCTGTATTTTTCCCCGAAATGCTAGCACAGGAAGAGACACTTATTTTCTTACCTTGTCAATTGTCTGGACTTGGTCTAGGAACTTGTACTACCATGATGTGATGGTTTTTGCATCTTCTGTGTCATTTTTATGTTTCTAGAAGAACTAGGTTTCACGTTGGTTGATCGATATCATGAATAATATACATGGTTACTAGACAACGTTACTTGATAACTAAGAAGCAACAGGGCTTCCTATAAAAAGAATGTTGTGTTACCTCTTCAGACTGTACAAAGCAGCTCATGTACAAATCTGTAATTCATTATCCTTTAATCCTGTGCAGTTACAAGCAATTATGGCAACCGATGATGGCACTAGAAGAAGCATAGCTGATCCAGCGGTTCAGACATCTTGCTCGGATCAGTCCTTAAAGACAATGATGGAAATTTGTGTGAGATGTCTACAAAAGGACCCTGCAGAGAGACCTTCTGTTGAGGATGTGCTGTGGAACTTGCAGTTTGCTGCTCAAGTTCAGGATGCATGGCGGGTAGATTCCCAGAGCAGTGATGGATCTCCAGGCTCTCCTTCCCAGCCTCCACACCTTCGTGTTTCCTTCCGTTAGTAAAAAATACTTTCAGGTATTTCTACTTCTTATCAAATTTGTTTTCAGGTTGTTGAACTAGTTTGTTGCAGTGATTTAGAGTGTCAATGTCAACTGAAATTTCTAATTTACATTTAACAAATGAAAACCACAAGTTGTTTATGATACAACTATCAGTAATTTTGTTTTCCATCCTATCATTTTTAGAGTAAAAACACCAAGAATGTCTTTCATGAAAGTCGAATCTGGGGTCTTTCATGATGTCCTTTACTTTCTGTGCAGGATATGCATGGCAGTCACAAGTGTAAGACACTAGGGATATGTACCCCTTTGTTTGGAAGGATGGAGAAGAGGAAGGTAGGGAAAACTTTTAATCCAATGGTTATGTATAAAACAGGAAGTTATGAAACTTAACTATAACATTATTTCCACCATGTCCCTCGACTATCTTTCCTACCAAGCAAAGCCTCGGGAAAGTTATTTTTTCTGCTGCTGCTGCTGCTACATTCTTCATGCCAAGCTATCTAAGCTCCCGAAAAGGTGTTGTCATCATTTCCTTACACTCAAGTCATCCCTATTTCTCCTCTTGTGATTATCGGAGTTAGTAATATAGTTACTTGCCAAAGTTGGAAAATTCAGAACCAAATTGTCTATACTGGTTTTCTGAGAAATACAGAAACCTGTTTTTTTTTTTTTTTTTGTCATACTGTCGTCTAGATTTCTTTTTTCTTATAATCCATAATTACACTTACAATTACCATCTGAACAACAAAAAGGAATTGCTGCCAGGCCTTATTAATTATGCGATGTTCAAGTCGTCAACTAATGCTATATTATATGATTCTCTGTATTCTTTTAATCCTCATCACTTTGTTTGGTTACTGCTAGGGAATCTTAGGTGGTTGTGATTTTACATCACTGAAGCCAGCAAATGACATCCAAAATGTAGAAAATGTTTTATCACTCAAGAAAAGTGATCTCCTCGTTTATTTTATAACAAATTTACCCTTGTAATGGTGCTGAATAAAACATGTTTGTTTACAAATTTTTAGTTTTTATAAGTTTATATTTATTTTTTTATACATTCAGCTTTAAGTGGTATTTGTCACTTAAAAATCACAATAATCAACAAATAGTTATTAGATCATCACATTTGATAAAAACTCGATGATCTTATATGTATGTGACAATACATGTGATAGTAATTTTAAATCATCTAAAGTGATTATTTCATGTTTTGAAAGATGATTTGATTTTCATCTAAAATGATAAAAACTTTTATTACTGAAATAAAATAAATTATAAAATTAATTATAATCAATACTCAATATTACTCATTTAATATAAAAATTAAAAACTCGCGTTCTCTTAAAATTATAATAATTTTATATTATAAAATTTTACCTTTTTAAAATAATATTTATTGTACTAAATTCACAAATAATTTATACGATCTTTTTAATTTTCTTTAATATATTTTAGAAACAATTTTCTTTAAAATTATACATACTATATATAAGAATATAATATATATATATATATAGTATAAGATTATATAAATAGAAATATATTTGTGCATGGTAGAAGAGAAACTGCAGGACACATAAATGTCCATATATTAATGAAGTCAGAAGTTTATTAATTTGCAAGAAAAAGGAAAAAATAAAGGAAAGGGAAAAAAATCCTAAGGTTTTATCTGCTGTGAATAATTTGATTGGCGAAAATGGCCGGAATCTGGCTATCTTGTTCATCATCTTCTTCATCATTGCATGGTTCAGAGAGCTGAAGACGGTCCATGCTCTGAGAAGAAGGTGCAGTAGTTTCAGCCACAAGGTCAAAATTGGAGGTAAAGTTGCTGATGTTTATGAGATTATTGGAAGCTGAGGAATTGTTTGAATATGCTGGCTGCAGCAAAGCAATACGTTGTTCATGTTGTTGTTGTTGCTGCTGCTGTTGCTGTGAGCTTTCAAGTGCATTTACCATGGCAATTCGACTGTTGATCAGTTGGTTTTGCACCAGTGCTAGCTCAGCCTGCAGAGATGCAACCTGCCAAAAAAAAAAAAAAGAAAATCACACCAATTTTCTATCAACTTTAAGCATGAAATTAATCACCAAAAAATAGAATAAAATCTGATCCAAAGAGATTTTAAGTTCAAGTCATAATACTCTTTATATACATATTTATTCTCACATATAATAAAAATAAGGATTTAAAAATTACGTACTTTTAGCAATAGGAAAGAATATTTTAGCAAATTTTTTTATCAGATTTAGCAATATTTTACTACAAGAAATTATTGGAGCAATCTTTTGGTGTTAGATATAGTAAAGAAACTTAAACATTACCCTATTGATAATTAAAGTACGTATAACTTTACATCTTGTTAACTGTTAAATTCATATTGTCTGGTCTAGGCAAGGCAGAAAATACAATATTTGAGAGAATTCGGGATTTAATTAAATTAAATCGGTTCATGCATTTATTTTTAAAAAATAACATATAATATATTTAAAATTTAAATTTCAATACTTGTAATTTATTTTTATCTCTAAACTGCAGTCTCTTATTTATATATATATATATATATATAATATAAAATATAATACGTGATAGTATTTTTTTTCTAAGGTAATTAAATTAATTATACATTTGTTTTTTGTCAAGCTAAATCAGCACAATACTAAAACAATGAGAAAAACGTGAAGGCTCGGTGTCCATTGGTTCCTTTTTCAAACAGTATGCGACTTAAAGAAGATGTTGCCAGCAAGCAAAACAACTTAGCCAACATCATTTAATTGGTTTCCATTTAAAAAGCCAACAAAAAAAGGAAGAAAACTAAATACGGTAGTGCATGTGTAATTAACCTGTTGTTGTAAAGAAAGTATGGTTGAGACACAACCATAAACCGGGTCCGATAGCCTGGCCTGAGCTTCATACGATATTGTGACCACAGCATCATGTCTCTGGTTCACCGGGATGTGAAGCAAGAGCTTTGAAACGTTACTAGCACCGAAAACCTTGTGCACGGCAGCAAACCTGGCTGCACCCTGGTCTGAACCAAAGTGGGGTGCAAAAATGCACCCACTAATACACTTCCGCCTCAAGAACTTGCATGCCCCACATGGTGCTGCTGGGACCGGTGCAAGTTCCGCCACCACTGGCTCAGCCTCGACCGGCATGGTGGCACGCTTGCTGGTTCCCTTCCTACGAGTTTCAGACACGCCATGGCATTGTGGCTCGGCCATTGAGGGTATTAGGGTTACGGTTGAAGAGAAAGCAAATGAGAAAGGTGGTGAGTTTGGTTGCTTATATGTGAAAAAAATGGAAGAAGTGCACGTTTGTCTCGTGAATAGGGTTGCCAAGAGGAATGTGGTAACCTTAATTTTCTGTCTTTTTTTTTTTTGTTAAAAAAAACTTTATAATATAAAAATTAAATAGAGAAAGAGAGCAGGGGCGTTATGGTTGGTGGTTGGAAGGGAAGGGAGTGAAATGGGAAGAGCATGGGTGGTGTGAGGGGCACGTGCAAAGGGAGTAACTCTGTTTGATATAGGATTTGGGGCTTGGTTAATTATTAGTTTAATCAAGATGTCAGATATGAGATTATATGTAAAAAAAAAAAGAAGGGGCAAAGAAAATGAGAAGTTTCACGTATGAGAGTTGAAGAGGGTTGTCTTTATGGGAGGGCACAAAATTTGTGCTGCCTGTGGCGTGTGGGACTTGTAGCCAGCTATCAAACGTTCATGGATGTCATGCCATGGATGAAGTTTCAGCATCTAGTCCCCTTTCTTGTTGTGATGGTTATATTTCTGCTAGTACTCATTGCCAAACATAAGAAAATTCCATGTCTAAATGGAACCGGAAACAATTTTCCCTGTTAACTTGTACCATCAACCAAGCTACAAGAAAAAGTTACATCATTGAACAGACAAATTCTTGTTGAATTCAAAAGAAGGAAGAGTAAGAGAGCAGGAAGAAAATTTTCTTTGACAAAGGAATTTTGACAAGAATGCAAACAGTTAGCAGATAGAGAAGAAAATCTACAGATTGTTGGTCTTCATGCACACCTAACAAACTAGGTGATTTATGCTGTCAGAAGGAATGAAACTTTAATTTTGAGTAAAGAGGTAAAAGCTTTAAGTAATGAATTCTAATGGGTAAATATTCAAAAAGTTCAATTTGTAATGCTCTCCTTGTACCAAAAAACGAAGGATATCTAGCATGGTTCTCTTGAAGAGACATGACAGAAAATTAGCACACAAATCAGGCTTACTTGATCGCCTTATCTCATAGCTATACATTTAGAAAATAAATTTATATTTTATGAAAATCACCAGTCAATTGTGGAGCAATCCCTTTAGTAACAGCTTATGTGCTTTCAAGTATGTTCTGAACGTAAATATTTCAAGCCCTGAGGCCTGACCCAAAATTCACCGTAGCTAAAGGTAAGCTCCTAATCTTCTTTTACGTCTTTTGAAGCAAAGAAAAAAAGACATGGCAAGAAAGCTCCTGAGCTTCTCACAAGTATTGTTGATAGATTACCACCATCACAAGAATGGTTAATTTTGCGACCAACATTTCCAACTCTTGTGGCATCTATATTAATCCTCAAGCATGCCTTCCCAGATGGAAGATGGTCTCTCACAACTGGAAGAGCAGAAGAAAAGTGACCGTTTGAAACAGGTTCATCACAGATTTGTTGCTTCCTAGCTTCTTTGGATGTTAAAAGCTCACCTATCCAAGCAAATTGTAAAATAGAATAGCATTTAAGGACTAACCTCCAGAGATACAAATTATGCACCAGCTGTGCAGAAATGAGGAATAATAGAAGCAATTACTTCCATCCAAAATATGTCTCAAAACAATTCCTTCCAGACAGCACGTTCTTCTAATGCTGGGGGACAATGAATGATGTGCACAAAGAACAAAACCAAATAGGTATGATGGAGAGGAGGGTGGGGAAGAATCATGATTAACAGTAAGACGAAGATGGCATTGTATTTACCAGAGGAAAGACACATTAAGGTTTACAAGTTACAATAGTAAGAACCACAAAGCAAGAAGAAGAAGACTGGTAACAACCAGAAAGCCGAAATGGGATGATGGCAAGGCAAACCATCAGCCTGCTCAGTAAGGAGTGACAGCCACCACTTTGCTAAAGATGCCAAGTTGTTATGCATTGGTGACATGAAGCAAAACAGCAAAGGAAAATGGTAGGAAGAAACAGAAAGCTAGTTGGAATGTTGAATTGCTAGAGCAGAAATATTATCTAGCCTGCGTCATTAATTTGTGATGGTGCTGTCTCCATCTTATGTACATACATATCTTCAAAACTTATTTCATTTTCCATATGCTTTGCACAAGTCATCATAATCTTTTCTAGTTATGGAATTCCTCTGGCAATAAGCCCTGACCAGACTCATGCTTCTCATTTCTTAAACATAGCGCAATCTTTTAAGAATCATCAATTAGTGTAACCAAAAAACCCAATACCAGCTACAAATCTACTGAAAAGGCAACTAAATTCACCTAAGACACTAAAAACAATACAATCTCCAAAACATTTCATATTAAAAGATTCATTTTGGAGTAAAAGGAATACATATAATAAAGAATAAAAAAGAAAAGCTAAAATTTGAAATTAAGTACCTGCATACTCAGACGAATTACCCCCTCTGAATCCATTGAGCAGCATATAAGCCCCACCCTTTTCTTACGTCTCTTCCAATCATCAACTGAACTCGTATTCATCTGGCTCAGCGGACTCCCACACCGCAAACCACAACGGCAACTGGGTCCACATTCACTCATTATCCCATTCCCCACCCCCTCGGCCCCCCTTCAACTCCAAGCATGGACATCCAATCACATTATATTCACTCACCTTTTCACACCTCTCACACCCCGACTTGCCCCAAGTCGGGTCATCAGCACAACCCATTTCAGCATTAGACGAGTTCGACCCGGAAGGATCTGACTGTGCGACGATTTAGGACAGAGTGAGTTGGATCCCCAAAAATGGCGCTTTAAAGAAGAAGAAGAAGAAGGAATGATTTGAGAAGGGGCACAGATGAAGTAGGCATATCGGTATTGATTGACCGTTTCGTGAAATAGGATGGGAAAGTTTTCAAAGGACCTGGGAGCATCGAGGGAACGGTGGAGAGTGATGGAATGGGCTACTTGGTAAAGGTTTGCAGGTAACGGAGATTGTAGCTAGTCCTTGAGAGGTTAGCCGTGGAAAGATCAAGGTTGCGCACTGAAAGAAAGGGTGGTTCAAGCGTCGGGTTTGTGGGTCTGGTTTGTTTTGATGGGACTTTTCGGCCGCTGTTGGTGGCGGCAACATGAACCGAACTAGTTTGGTTTGGTCTAGAAAGTTGGAGCTGCTAGTTTTGAGATGAGTTTCGAATAAAACAAATGGTTACAATTGGATAATTTGTTTCGACCTCAGTTTCTTTTTCTTTACCTTATGATTCTAAATGATTCTTAAATCGAATCAATGCCAAGCATTCAAATTTAATAGTCGACAATTACCAAGAAAGATAACAAAAGGAAAGCAGCTGCGAAATCTTATTGGACTAATTTCTTGGAGGAAGTTACAACAAATTAAAAGGTTTTATATTCCAATGAATCTGGAACCAAAAATTACGAACTAAGGGAAAGAGGAGAACGATTTACAACAACATATATAAATTGAACAAGAATTGCTTTGGCTATTATTTGAGTTTTATTTGGCTTTATATCAAAATTGGCTTCACTCTAATTTCTTTCTTCATAACCTACATATTTATACGTATTAAAATGTGCTTACAAGGCCTATACCTAGCTCTTCAGCAAGCTCATCCCATACAGGAAGCAGCATCAACACAACAAGAAAAATAGCTACTGTAACGGCTGTTTTCCTCCATGTTCCGACGTCAGTTACATCGTTTAAGCAGGGTTTTTCTGGAGTCCTCTGAGCATTTGTCATTACAATCAAATGATAAGAAAGCATATAGTTAATCCTACTTTATAAGAAAGATTATAGTTAATTCTACTTTAATTTCTTATACTAAGTAAGGTTCGATTGGCATACCTGACATATCAGCACATACAGCCCCCAGGGAAGTGATAAAGGTCCTCCAATCTGCAAATAAGATCACAGAGATTAGTTGCATCATACAAAAGATTGGGGAAACTGGTTTATAATGCACGACCAGGCTGAGTCTAACTAGTATGCGCATACCACTCCTAATCCAAGCAATGTGTAAGTTGTCAGACCAAACCCAACCAGCGCACCCTTTCCAAAAGCACCCTGAAAAAGTATGCAACTAAATTTCATAAATCTTGTACATAGTTCGCATTAGGTAATTAGAGCTATTTCATGCATGATCAAATTAAAGTTGCTATTTCTCAATTTGTTTATAACACTTGGAGCCTAAAAAATAGTCCACTCAGTGTACCTATACATACAAATAATAGAAATGCAACTGGTCAACTACTAGAACATGAAAACAAAAGAAAACTTGTTGATATGCAATTTTCCCTTGTATATGAAAGGATTATTTCTTTTTGTGTGGTACGAAGCTCACCTCCCCATTGGTTTTATCTTTTACTTGCCCTGTTTGTTCTATTTCCATAAAAAATTTCCTCCGTTCCTATCTCGATTTCACTCTTTAATCTATCTTCTTCCTACCAAATTACCCTGGTAATGGTTGTTTCTCACTCTAATCCCAAGATATCATCAAAGCTAGAGGATGGGGGAGAAGAAGTGAAAAAGGCTAATGGCTTGACACTGCTAATTCTTCAGTACTCTCTATTAGGAAGATGTAAAATTAGGGGGAAAAAAAAAACCTCTGCAGCGCTGAGATAGAGAGAGAAGGTACCTGCACAGCCCTTCCACCATCAAGACACCCCACAGGAAGCATATTAAAAGCTGTTGTGGTTAAGCCACACCTGCAACAGTAACTTGTATGGTAAGCATATTAAGAAAATCCAGACATTGAATTAAGGTAAGCAGATAATCCAGGAATTTAACCCTACCATCCTGCAATCACAAGAGGATGAATTGACACTGTTGCAGCATGGATTGCCCTGCAAATTGACAAAATAATTTGTCCATTATTTTCATCACAAAAATATGATCTCCATGACCTAACATGGTACAACTGCTAGATTAATACAAGAGGAAAATTGGAAAACAACATTATTGGCTCCTCAGATTTCATCAAAGCTCATGCATAATACTCTGTTCAGTCAATAATAAAGCTGTCAAAGCAAAAGGACATACGCATAACCGAGAGTTGCTCTACTGATGAGTCCAAGGAGCAATGAACCCTGAAACAGCATGCTAGGAACCTGCACAAAGTCCCCAGTTGCATCCGGGTTTGATGAAAGCAACAGACCAACAGCAAACATTGAAAAAGACAATGCAGAACCAGCAAATGGGCCAGCAAGGGAAATGTCAACTTTTGTACTCCGATCAGGAAGAATAGATTTGAACTGCAGGAAGTAAGAATTAAGGAGCACTTTTAAATATCATTTTAAAAGCTAAAGTATTTCAATTGGACATTCCTCATTCCTCATATTAAGTCAAGCCAAGAAAGCAGGTATTGAGAGCTCAAGCAGAAAATAACTGAAAAAAATATTGCATGAAAGAGAATGTTTGATAGCCAAGAATATAAAATCTAAGCTTTGCCTGAAATGTAAACAACATATTATATTTCAGAAAACAAAGACAAGGTCATTTTGACCCCAAGAAGCAGAAGAGGGAGAGAGACAAGAATGAAGTGTGTTCAGACAGAGAGATACTTTGAACCATCAAAAGATGAATCTCAAGACAATAAGATTAACTTAAGAAACCATAATAACTACACATCTATCACTACTGATTATTTTCATCTACTTCTCCTAAAAGGATAGGTTACACTGCATGAGACAAAGGTTTTCAAATTATTGAGGACACTGGAATAACAAATTTGTTGCTAAAGTCTCAATGAAGTGTATACAGGTACAAAATAAGTCTGTGTGGCTAGAATATCCTATCTATACAAGAAGGCAACCTCAGATGTTTGAACAGGGGCACCTTGTTAAGACATAAAATATTTAAATTTAATCAAACATAGAATTCTACCTTGAGTTTCCATACAGGAAATAAGTCACGCTCACCTGAGTAATAGCTCCAAAGCTTCCAAGGGTAATGTTTGGAATGAAGAAAGGAATGCTTAGTTTTACTTTCTTTGGAAAAGCAGCAAGAAAGTGCCCAACTTCCTGCAGGCAAAAGATTTCACGGCATAGAAAAGTCAAACATAAGCGCCTAATAAAAGCTAAAATTGATCAAGTTCAATTATGTTACTCATTGGCAGACCACGTTTATAAATATATCAAACACAAAATTGATCAATAATTGACAAATTGCATAACTAAAATGGAAAGGATAGTGAAACTTGCTAAGGAAACCATCAAAAAGCATGGGCATACTTACATGAAATATAAGCACCCCTAAAACACCATACGCTAGAGGCAATGCTGACTCCACAAATGGGTATAGCAGTTCCATATCTGGTGGTTCAACAGCATTTGGATCTGTAAAGTATTTCACAATCTCTGGAGAAAGTCGGTTTATCTGTCAAGAGATAGCACACTATCAATACTCTATCTCCAGAATGATAAAGATGGTATATCCACAAAAATGCAGAAAATATAACTTAATCTATCTTCTACAGGTCAATGCAGCAATGTCAAAGTATTTCTACATAAATGGAATACCTGAGATGCAATACCTAACTCCACGCTGGAACCTATAGTCAAGAGGAACAGCAAAAGAGCTATCACATATTGCCAAAGTGTAGTTGGTCCAGGTTCTGAGACCTCTTTCCTCAGCAAACCAAAGCTAACACGTGGCCCACCACGCGGGTCAGGTGCTTCTGAATTAGGCTCCTCAACCATGAAAAGATTGTATTTATCACCCATGATCTCAGCCAGTCGAGTATGGAGTTTGGTAAAAACATCTTCTCTCTTCCCTCTTAAATTTCCTAGAAAAAGGATGCCCTCACCAAGGTCTCCAAATGGCTCTTCTTTAGTCACCCAAAATGTGGAATAGCCAAAAAGCTTGTCCTTAATTAGCTTTACATCAGTAGGATCAACTTTCTCAGGTCCAAGAAGCTCCATCAATTTAAAAGAATCAATTTGGAAATCACTGTAGACTGATCCAAGAGGAGCTATGTTTGGTGGCTGACGAAAGGAAACACATCAACACATTAGAATCTGAGATGCAATTGCACTATTATCACAAACTTTCACTCTCTTCACTCATCTTCCTAAATTAAGCACAGAATTTAGCTACCAATGTCTAAGGGCACTTTTTTGCTTTCGAAAGCAAAAATTCAGTACCAAACTTAACCTAAAAATTTCTCCTTGAATATTTCTTCCTTCTTTTCATTTACTTTTAACAATTTTCTCCGAAAATGCCAACTAAATTTATGCCTTTTAATAAAACTTAAATACGTAATAAATATAACTAAGAAATGCAATAAAAAAATAGTAGCAAAAGCTGTACCCTTGAGGAAACAGACGGAGGCAGGTCATTGCCGGTGCTTTTCTCCTTCACTGCCTTCTCTTCGGGCGGAGACGCCGTCGTGATGGTGGATTCTGTGGATGAAGAATTATTATTATTATTATTATTATTATTATTATTATTATTATTCTCCTTAATGTCTCCATCATTATTGGTGTAATCACCGTGATTATCGTTACCGCCCCCAAAACACCTAATTTTGAAAAACTTTTCCCGTGAAACTTCCTTGGAAACTATTCTACTCCATACAAAACACAAATTCCTCTTCAATTTCCTCGACTCGAAGACTCGTACGCCAACTCTTTCGCGGAAAATTGAACTGGAATGGAACCGGAAATTCACCGCGCTAAAACTACAGCTCGTGAGAGTTCCCATCCAATAAAAATCTCCGACCAAGATTTAAAAAATAAAAATAAAAAACAAAGAAAAAAGTTTGAATTATATTTTTTTTTCTGGGCTTTTGGTGGGTTTTGAACAGAGAGCTGATGGGAGTTTTATCTTCTTCGTTGCGGGATATTAAAAAAAATATTTTTTGTGCGTTTCCATTTTTCTTTTTCATTTGGATTTTTATTTTTGCTAGCTTGACAGCGTGTCCTAATTTATTCTTCCACGCTGGATATGTGGGCTCCGATTACTTTATCCAATTGCAATTTTTTTTTTTATTTCGGTTATATATATATATATATTATAATCCACGCATCTTTTGCTTAAGATTAGGACATTTGAATAAATTATTAATAGACTATTCTTTTATTATATTAAAAATAATGGTAATGATAAAATTAGATATTTTAATATTAAATTAAAATTAATAATAAATATAGTTTGAAATTAAAAAAAAAAAGATAAAATTAAATACGACGGTAAATTGCCTCAAATAAATAATTTAGTATTTGATCGTTTTGCCTTTTTTTTTTGAAACTCGAGCATTGTACGTAGAAGGAAAAACAAACAGTTTATCGGAAGATATGGTCTAAGACTCATTTTCTTCTTTTTCCTTTCACTTATTTAAGAGTTCACTAAATGTTATTTTTTTTTAAATTATTAGTACAAAATAACTTATAATTATGATTAATTATTACATTCATATATAATATATTATTAATTAATTAATTAGTTAATATAACAAATTAAAATATAAACGAATAATTAAATTCACACCAAATAAATTTAAACTTAATTGATTTTAGAATTTCTTTCTTGCGGCTGAACCTTGACCTCGTCGGCTGCTGCATGTTGCTTAAATGCAGCAAGTTGGTGGTATTTCCTTTACTAATTTCTTTGCTCCTTTCTATTTGTTGGTCAAATTTGTTACATCAAATTCCATGTCTATGGGCTAAATTTGATCCAATTGTGCTGCAGGTCCTCTTTAGGCTATGCCGGGCACGGGACTGTTGGACTTGATCAGATGCACTGGAGAGCCAATGAAGCCCATGCTACTTAATTTCGGCCCATTGACTGTTCATACCGTTGGTCTCCGTATCAATCAGCTCTCATCACAGCATAAATAAATCATCTACAGATTAAAACAGCCAAAATATTTGGTCATTTACCTCACTTTCCCAATAAAAGAATCAAAATCCCAGAAAACTCCCAAACTCCTCCCACCCATGCCCTCTCCGTTGGGCTCACCCACAAGTTCCCGGTCTGTAACACAGACCCTGAATGGCTCCCACCGTTTCACGATCAAAGGTTATTCCTTAGCCAAAGGCATGGGCATAGGCAAACACATAGCCAGCGAGAGCTTCTCCGTCGGAGGTTATCAATGGGCAATTTACTTTTACCCTGACGGTAAAAACCCAGAAGATAATTCAACTTATGTCTCAGTTTTCGTAGCTTTAGCAAGCGAAGGCACAGATGTTAGAGCCCTTTTTGAGTTAACCCTTTTGGACCAAAGTGGGAAAGGGAAGCATAAAGTTCATAGCCATTTCGATCGATCTCTTGAAAGTGGCCCTTATACGCTTAAGTATAGGGGAAGTATGTGGTAAGGCAATGGCTTTCTTCTTATTGGTTTATTTTTTGGGTGTTCTTTGATCTTGATGATCTTTGGGTTTTAAAGGGTTTTGGTAGAATTTTTCTAATACGCGAGGGAAAATATTGCTATTATTTCTTTTTTTTTTTTAATTCTTGGTGAAATTTTAGTTTTTTTGGAGATTTTTTAGGTTATTGGGTTTGAAGAAATAAGTGTTAAAGAAAAGGGGAAAATGAAAAAGATTGATGCTTTTGAAGGATCGGAAGTGAATGGGAAATTATGATCTGCTGAAGAATGTATGATTAATGCATTGAAAATTGAGGATAATTTTATCACCTTCTCTTAGCTCAAGTAGTAAGGATGGGTGTTATGAGTAGGAATTTTAGGTCCAAGCCACAGTGCTACCCGTTGTACCAAACAAAATTGATTCTATTGTTTGGTTTTTTATTTTTGTTAAAATTTTGTTTTTGAGGCTTTGTGATGGATATTTTGCCCGCATTTTGTAAATGAGTTCGTGAAAAAAATTAATAATGGCAAAATTGTATGATTAATGAATTGAAAATTGGGGTTATTAGATGGGGTTGATTAATAGAAGGGATTAATTAGAATAGACTGTAGCCATATATGTTGAGTAGTACTGATGGGATCTGTAAAACTCCTACCTGCATACCCAAATACAATGTAACTTTTACTTTGCTTTAGGTCAAACTGAAGTTGAAGTGTCTGCTATATTACTGAAGTTAGTAATCTTGTGAAAGAAAAAAGAATCTCATTTGGGAGTGATTATCATGTTAATTAAAATTTAAGATTGTAAGTTCCAGGAATTTCCATTTTTACCAAGCCCCCATTTTCCTCTTAATTTTCTTGAAACATAAGTTACTAAATTATCAATGCAGTTATTTGACTCTATATCCTAATGTAGGAATAAGTTTTTGGTCCGATTTTAAGGGCTCCATCAATTAATTTGTTAGTAAACATTCTTAAAATGTTCCATCAATAACTTAAGTGGTGTCACTGTAGTTGTGAGTATGGCAGGGAAGGCAAGGAGGGCCTTCCACCATTTTAAGTGAACCTTACTTCTTTTGGAAACATGGTTGTTTTTCCTCTTTCTTATTTGAAGCAATTAATTTGCTTGCAATTGCTTATCTAAGTTGGCACACTTGATTCATTTTCAGTTTCAATAGGTTGAAATCAATTCAATGCCTTCTTTGTTTTCAGGGGGTACAAGCGTTTTTTCAGGCGGGCTATGCTTGAAACATCAGATTTCCTCAAGGATGATTGCTTAAAAATAAATTGCACTGTTGGTGTTGTGGTTTCAGGAACAGATTGCCCAAGATTGCACTCCATACAGGTCCCCGAGTCTGATATTGGAACCCATTTTGGCATGTTATTGGAAAATGAAGAAGGTTCTGATATTACTTTTAATGTGTTTGGGGAAAAGTTTCCTGCTCACAAGTTGGTATTAGCTGCTAGGTCTCCTGTATTTGAAGCTCAATTTTCTGATAGGATGGAAGAAGATAATAATGAAATAGTTGTTACAGATATGGAGCCTAAGGTTTTTAAGGTAGCATTTTCTACCTTATTTCACTTACCTTTGGATTTGGTTGTAATGCTGCTTAAGTTCAAGTTAGCTCTCTTGATATGGCACGAGAATGTAGTGTATGCCTGGTTATTTTATTTTCTTAACATTCTCTACCATGTGCATTTGGGCAGGCTTTGCTGCATTTCATATACAGAGACAGTCTTATTGATGACGAAGAGTTTGTGGGGACTAGCTCATCTTGTATGCCATCTATATCTGACGCATTAGCTGCAAAGTTGTTGGCAGCAGCAGACAAATATGACTTGCCTAGACTCAGATTAATGTGTGAGTCTGTAATCTGCAAGGATATATCTGTGAACTCAGTTGCAAATATTTTAGCTCTGGCCGATCGATATCATGCTATGGATCTAAAATCTGTTTGCTTAAAATTTGCTGCTGAAAATCTTGTTGGTAAGTTCTTGAGTTTTTTTATTGCTTTCCAAGTTTTACGTTATATAGAAACATTGGAGCAATGTTAGCATGTGCTGAGTAAAGCCTGGTGTCCTTTTTATGACAATCTAAGTGTATTTTGTATCTGAAAATGTCTTGAGAATTGAGATGATGTTAGCATTCAGTTTATGATGAATGTCAAAAAAGCTCATATATCCCTTTTATGACAAGTCTACGTGTATTTCATATCAGAAAATATCTTGAGATGATGCTCAGGATTCAGATTTATGATGAACATGAAACAGTTTAAATATTTGGTTTTTGAGAACGGTCATATTTTCTTTTCTTGGTTCTGGCTGTTTTCATGGTCCAGGCAGCCTGCAGGGCCTTGCCTGTTTTAGGCCAGGCTTCTGCTATGTTTTTCAAGCCTAAGCCTCACCTAACCCATGGGTAAGGTTAGTATCCAAAACTCCAGATGATCAAAGCTGTTGTCAGATAAAATCTAGTGTGGCCATTATCTTACGTCTCTATGTTTTGAGAGTGAGTCCTCCAGTCCTTTTTTTTTTTTGGGGGGGGAGGGGGGGTGTTTGGAGGGGGAGGGGGCGTAGATTATAGAGTTGTTGGAAACAGTCATGCTGCCCGTTTGGAGAAATGATTGCTTTAGCATCACTAAAGACATGTTAAACTGTCAATTTCTTTAGTTGTTTAATTTTGATGGACTTCAGTTTGACATGTCAAATGATGTTAAGATTAAACAACTTCAGCACATTCTGTTTACAAAGTTGTTTGCTCTTCAGGAGGTCCTATTACTAGAAGCTAAGGTTTCCATTATTACTATAAGCTATATTCCTTCAGCTCCCTAACTTGTCAAGCCACATTTTCTGACTTGCTCTATCTGATGCACAGCTGTTATGCGCTCTGATGGTTTTGAATACCTCAAAGAAAACTGCCCGTCACTGCAGTCAGAGCTCCTCAAGACAGTTGCAGGATGCGAGGAAGAGTTCAGTGGTGGGGGGAAGAGCCGAAGCGTGTGGGCACAGTTTTCTGATGGTGGTGATACGATCAACAGGAGTGTAAGGCAGCAAACCTGGGAAAACGGAGGGGAACAAAATCAAGGCTTGTGGGTACAACTTGAAGGAGTTGATGATGGCGGCGAGGGGAGTCCCAGGCAAGAAGAATGATGTTGGAAACATGGTAACATTGTTTTTTAAACTAACATTGAGGACATTAGATGGCTGCAAAGGAAAAGAATTGTGGAATGAAAAAGAAAACTAATTGTGAGGAAACATTTACCTCTATCTTGTGAATTGTCTCATGTTTTATGTTTCAAGTTTCATGTTTCACGTTGTATTGTATGTTGTGTCACTGACTAAGCTATGGTGGCAATGTACTTATGGTTTCTATATACAGTATAATTTGCCTTTTTTTTTTTTTTTGAGTTTGTATAAGAAAATTAAATAACTTTTTTTAAAAAAATCACTTTAAAAGCATTTTTCTACTGACCAACATGAAAAAGTGATTAAAATTTAAGATTTCATTTTATTTTTCATGCTTTGAATTTGATTTTTTTTTTTTTTGATAAGTTGAATTTTT